TTTAAATGTGTTTTATCATGGAATCCGTAAAAATAATCTCCACGAAGAAACTGATAACATTTGTATGGCTTTAAAGAAAAACAGAAAGTAAGCAATCATTTTTTATTGTTTCGTACAGAGTCAGAAATAATCTTTACTCATGTGTATTCTATATTACATGTTTTTCAGATTGTACTGGATAAAACAATTTCTTAGATTTTCGCTTACCTATGTTGTCATAAGCATGCTTTGGAAACACTTGTTCGTTTCGCCTCGTAAGCCGAGACTTGTGAATGTGATGTCTTTTTTGTATTACCGATGTTTTGTTTGTATACGGAATAATAAATTAAGAATTTAAATCATGTCACTAAAAATATTATTAATTACCGATTTTACTGATTGCAAAACTACAATTATGGATTGAAGAAGATGAAAATATTAGATACTTTACAATATTATGTTATGGTTTATAGGTGATATTTTCATAATGTTTGTGCTTAAGATATTATAATAGTTTTTATTAAATATCTAACTTAAAAACATGTTATGTACAAATTAAGCGTTTTTTTTTTTTTTACCACCAATACCTTATATAAAAAGAAATTTGTCGGTTTATTCGGTAGGTGATTTTATCACTTTCAGTTATAATAATTTCTGTAAGCCTGTGACCACACCGTCCCTACTATGCTCCGACCCCCTTGTACTGGCTCTTTTTTTATTGGATTTTTAGGTAAGGCGTAAGGGCCTAAAAGTTCTGAAAATTATACTAAACGTATTTGAAGACTACACATCATTTTTTTTCAATAATTATAATATGAATAATTTTTTTTTTAGACATCAAACATGTGTTTAAAGAATAAAATTAAATAAATAAAAAGTTATGTATTGTTGTTTATTGTGAACTCATTTGTGTCTAGTTTATAAATTCCACCTTTCATATGACCCTCACAAGTTTTAGCATATTGCGGTTATTGTATTCTGGTAAATTGTATTAGTCTACAAGTGGAGCGAAAAGCCAAAAAAATATTTAAATTTAAAAACAATAGGTTTTTTAATAAGTTATTGTTCAATTGGTGTATTTTTCCCACGTAGTATGAATATTTAAGACCTTTTCATTGCCACATTATTATTTATATCGCTCAGTATTCTTGACAACTCAAGAAATACTAGTGCACGAATGACGGGAACCTAACTTTATCGCTAGTGTTTATAAACATAAATATATATATATATCATTTTTATATTTTTTAATTTAAAAAAATTGGGTATTTAATTAGTTATTATTCAAGTAATGTATTTTTTACAATATTTTTTTTTCTTCTACTAAAGTATAAGTAGTGAAAATTTAAGACCTTTCCATTGTATTAACCACATATTCAGTAGGAACATGAATTTTAATTCAGCAGTTATTAAGACTAGTATAACTGATCATTATAAAAATTACAACTTACCGGTTGTGACGGCGAAGCAATGCAAATGGTACACACTTTTAAGTATTCAGGAGTGATAATGGATTACAACCTTAAATGGTCAGACCACATACAAAATATTAAAAATAAAATGAGGTGGTTAGCAGTTCTAATTTATAAAATTCGCCTCTTAAATAAACCAACAATAACATATCCTTCAGCGGAATTAGTTAACTGTACAAATACGTTATCTGTTTTTTTTAATTATATGTTAGGCAAATCCTAATAACATCTATACAGAGGCATAGTTTAAACGATAAAAAAATGCTAGACCAGAGAACAGGAAAATTTATCAAAACTCCTCCGACCGGGAGAAGCTCCCCCGATTATATATGTAAAACGGTATTTAATAATTGAGATAGTGGTGTAAAAAGTAATAAGAAATTAAGTTTAAGTATATTATTATCATATTATTATTATTGTTCATTATGATTTTGTTGTACCGGGTGATTGGTTAACTTTGGACCACTCAATATCTAAGAAGATATTAGACTTTTAAAATTTTTTTTTTATACTATTATAGTTATTAGGTGGGATAAATTTAATGTATTTTTCAAAATTTTAACGCCATCCCTTATGCGTTAAAACCATATCAACTTTGAATTTTTCGATTGTAACCCCCAATTTTTTTGATGATCGTGTTTTTTTCTTTTTAACTTAATATTAGGCGTACAAACTAGCTAAATCAGACAAGTCCTTTTAAAGTTATAGCTTAGTACAACAATGCTACAATATTAGCTTATATGAGATGCTTTTATAAGTTTTACAATCTAAAGAACAAAATCGTTTATCGCCGGATCTCACGTTTCACAAAATAAGATTGATTAACGATACGGTTGCCGGTTGTAGATTAAAGTTAATGGTTGACGGTCGTCGGTCACAATGAAAACGAACTAATAGTAAATCTATAATATTATATAGGTGATGTCTTCTTATCTGTTATTTCTGTAGTGTTCATAGCGGTGTAGCCGTACGTATTGAATATTCGTACTATCATCAGCGGCTGCTATGGAGCAACCACAAATAAATATTACAACCACATATACCTATAAATTACAACAGATTTATATCTGCGTTTACAGCATTCAACAATAGTATTATTTGTATTGATATTTGTTTGTGGTATCAGCACTGATGAACTCTCGTGAATTGTATTTTTACACGCTCTTATTTTTTATTTGAACCATCGGCTACCGTGGTCTAACTATGGTCAATATAAGACTGTGGTTCTAATGAAAAGATTCGTTACTAGCGTCCATTAATATCATTTCTCCTTGTGCGTTACCTTTAGTATCAATAACATAATATCTACCTAGTTTGAGTAAATTATTGTAATTCATTGTACAAACAAATATGACTACTTGAAAACTAATCAAAACAGTTCATTATTCTGATTTGTCAATTATCATTGTTGACTGTTCAGCGATATTCACTATTTAGTACCGCCAATCGTGGTCTTAATAAATATTAGTGAAGTTATTAGTTCTGTTAGTTAAACTATTTTTTTTAAAAACTTCGGTGAATAACAATGCACTTTTTGTTTTTAGTGTCGAATTGTATTACATACAGTTAAAAGTTAATATATACAGAATGTAGTATATGTACGGAAATAAAAAATTGATATTCACTTCTAAACAAGCCTCCATCCTTTTAAGGAGTTCATGAGATGTCACCTTTTTAATAACGTCGGCTGATATTTGGGCACAAGCTTCTGTGATGAAAGTTTTCATTTGTTCCTTTGTTGCAGGTGCCCTTTTGTACACTACTTCCTTTACATGTCCCCGTAAAAAGCAATCCAAACAAGTAAGGTCTGGACTGCGCGGAGACCATTGAACTATTAGACTATTAGTTCCCATCCACTCATCCTTGTACGTTTGATTTAAATAATTTTCAACTATTTTTGCATTGTGTGCTGGTGCCCCATTCTGCTGCCAAAATAAATTATTTCGCTTTTCTAGTGGCACACTATCAAGCAATGATATAAAGTCATTTCTTAAAAAATGCAAGTACTTTTTGCTGTCCAAATTTCCATCAAAAAAGTAAGGACCTATTATTTGATCATCAATAATACCACACCATACATTCATTGACCACCTATTTTGGAATTGTACCTCTTTTGTGGAATGGGGATTTTTATTCGACCAATAATGGGAATTGTGTCGATTTATCTGACAACAATTCCCAAACCTACTCACATCTGTCCATAAAATTCGACTTGCTAATGATGGGTCGTCATCAATGTTCTCCAACATTACTGGAAGCCATGACAACCTACGATCAAAATCTGTTATCTGTAAATGTTGCACCATACATATTTTATAATCGTGGAACTTATGTTTTTTGGCTATTTGCTGTACAGTCCAGTAAGACAACCCTAAATCACCTGTAAAGTATAATTTAACAAAATTTAAAGTCAAAGTAAAAGTAATAGTAGTACCTATTAATAGATTTTAGAAGGAAATTCATTATCATAACATGAAATATTACAATGACATTGTTTTCCTATGATTTAAATTGCATTTAGATGTACCTGACTATATCAATTTAACAACGATAAAGATAATACTTTAGTACCATTTTATATTTTTTTACTTTGAAAAAGCTCTCGCAGTTTGATCAGCTAAAAACAGCTCTCACAGTTTGATCAGTTTTCCTAGAAACCAAAAACACAATTGCCCAGCAATCAATGAAATAAAGTGCTTTTCTACAAATTACCATCCCATTCTAAATGTACTTACCGATAAATTAAAAACATTTTTTCCAATACTTTTTTTGGATTACTTTAACGCATATTTTTGTTTCATCTAAAAATATTTTATCTTTATTTATTTAATTTTTTTTAACACCATATTTTTTTTAACTTATTGCAAAATTTATTTTGTTATTATCTAAGACAGTGATTAACCTAACCTGAGGTTATTTTAATAGATAGGGTCACCAGTATGTATTTATAAAATACGAATATGTACCTATGTAAACTTTAAAAGTGTTAGTAGGGGTCACCTCATCATCATCATGTAGCTTAACGTAAAGGCCCAACGCTGCAACAAGATGGTTTCTAGACGAATGGGGGTCACCTCATTAAAATAATTTAGGGATCGTGGATAGTCCAGACATATCCATGGAAACATTATATATACATTTTTTTTTCATCGGGCGCAAAAACCAAGTACGTCCGGACTGGTTGTTGCTCCCAACAACTTTAAACTTTATTTTGTTGGTGCATTAAGGGACGTTAAATTAAATAACCTAATATTTTTATATTTTTATTTAACTATTTAATTAAATAATAATATGATTATTATTTAACGTACATACTAATAATAGATTACTTATTTACTACAGTGAAATATTGTGTTAATTAGTGGGCTGCAATAACCAGTTAAGTCCAAAAACAAAATTGGACGTAACTGGTTGTTGTAACCATTGAAAATATAAATAACATAGTTTTTTATAAATATTATCATAAATATAAAATGTAAACCAAAGGAAATGGGTTTGATTGATGTATCTTATTCTTACAAAAAAAAATAACACCACATTTTTGGTTCATTTACCAAATTCATAAATGGTTTTTTATGTTTCCTGAACAATTTTGAAAAATTGACGTACCTGGTTATTGCACCGAGGCCTTCAATTAAGGTCAGTTGGCATACGATCAGTTGTATTGTATTTTGGTTTTTGTATTATAAAATTATACTAAATTTGCAATACAGAAAAAAAAAATAATTGCCATATTAATATTTATGTTGCTCATTATGTTAAATAAAATTCCAGAATATTAGTGCACGAACGACGCGGACCTAACAATATCGCTCATGTTATGAACTGTATCTATCACTTAAACTACGAACGTATCTAGTTGATGTTTTTCAAAAGATCTGTAAAATTTCGCAATGAGTTCGAATATTGTTGATGTGTATAATGGTGGTACGATTTTAATAACCGGAAGCACGGGATTTCTAGGGAAACTACTTACGGAAAAGTTACTGCGATCCTGCAAAGGAATAAAAAATATTGCTATAATAGTGCGAGATAAAAATGGCTTGTCGGCCAAACAAAGAGCTGCTAATATGTACGAAGAAAAAGTAAGTGTAGTTTGAGTTATAACATTTTCTTGGTTCACACAGATACTCAAAACATTAGATAACAAATAACTTTCCAATATAAATTAAGCTAAAAATTGTTTATTATATTATTCATACCATTCCATTGAATTTAAAACAAACATTTAAACATGCTGTGCGAAATTTGTAAACTTTACTGTGTTAAGTATAAGTTCAAAATTATTATTATGAGTAGATGTTTGTAGAAAATCTCGACAAAGGACAGCAACAAGTACGCGTACAGTTGTTAGATCTGACTAATTATTAATGAGATTTCGTTTAACTAAATTGCATTTATAAATAATAAAGGTTTTTGTGCTTATAAAAAGTGAAATAAGCATACTCAGGTGACAATCTTTATTTTCGCTAAACTCTATTCCATGTAAAAACGATGATAATTTATTGTTTTTTTTTTATGTTCGCAGATATTTGATCGGCTTCGAAAAGAAAGACCAGATTTTACGAATTACATTAAAGTCATAGATGGAGACTTGACTAGCCCATCGTTGAGTTTATCAACGGTTGATTATGAGTGGCTTTTGAAAAATATAAATTTTATTTTTCATTGTGCTGCCACTATAAAATTTAACGAACATATTAAAAACGCAACTAAAACTAACATTGAAGGAAGTGAAAATTTGATTGACATAGCTTTACAAATGAAAGCGTTGAAGGTAATCATATTATTTTGGTTTTATATAATTACAAAAAAAGGACATGGAATAGGTTATAAATTAAAAATATTAAAAAATCAATATTACCTCATTTTATTATTAAAATAGATTATTCCTCATGAAAATTTCGAACTTTTTAAACTTAAAAATATAAAACGTTTATACAATGTTAATTCATCTATACAACATTTTTCGAAAATTAGTTGTAAATTAGAAATATTATTTATAATCATTTTATGTATTTAACTAATAAATAAACAACATTTATTCTTAATAACATAATGTCGAATTTTTTAGGGATTCGTTCATGTATCTACTGCCTATTCTCATTATCCTAGAACTGAAATTGAAGAACTATTTTATCCTACACCAATAACAGCGAGTGAGCTAAAACAGAAATTGAATCTTGACGGTCAACCGTTCGAGTGTGTATTACTTATTAATTTAATCCACGCGCATTATTAATTATATTATTAAAACCAGAAAAATATTTTTTCTTTTAAAGAATTCCAAAAGGTTGGCCCAATACATATACTTTTACGAAAGCTATCACTGAAAATCTAATACTAACATATGCCAAACGGTTGCCAATTGCAGTATTTCGTCCATCAATAGGTATTTACATGTTAAGATTTTTTAACGTATAATTAACATTTCTTAATGAATTAAATGTGAATCGATAAAATTATATGTACTCAAATGTATTCAGCCATAATGTGATAATTACCATTAGTTGTATACTACAGTATGATATACATCACCAAATAATAATTAAAAACTTCCGCTTCAAATAAAATTTAACATAACATTTCTTTATGGAATCATTTAAAAAAAAAACGACACGATTAGGCCATTTTTTGAAATTTTTTATCTTTGAACTTTAAAATATTTTGCATTCTGGCATAAATTTAAATTTTTTTTATATATAGAACATGCAATATTAGTCAAGGACATTCTAAAGGAATTGGTTAAAAAATTATTTAGTAATAAAATAACAATTAACATTTTGTACACTAACAATAAACTCCTGTGGACTGAGCCTTGCTGCTTTTAGCTGCTCTTTTAAGGCTACAGTATTTTGTCCTGTATTTAACTAAATGCTTTGTCTTTTAAATAATATGGGAGCAAATTTCTTCCACTAAATTAAGCGTTCGCATTCTTGGTCGAAGGTTTTGGCTTTTATTAACCTTTAAGTTAGAAGCCAATAATTCGGTCACTAATGATTTCATGTTCTTGCATCTCTCAACTATCGGCAAGTCGCACGAAAACTGGATATTATTCTCTTAGCGATTTATTATTAATAATATTGAATTTTCTAAGTACTACTCTAAATTCTTTTCGGTTAGTTGGCTGCACTTACATGGATCCATTGTCTGGCCACTTGGAAAATATGAATGGTCCGTCCGGTGCATATACTGCAATTGTATGTGGATTTTTTAGGGCGTTCCCATTTAAAATGGATAAAATAGCAGATATAATACCCGCAGACTACGTAGTAAATACATTAATAGCAGTAATGTGGGACACAGTAAACGGGTAATTGTTATGAACGATATGTTATCATACTATGTCTGTATTTATACAATTTCGGTTTAATCTTCGGGATTTGATACATTTTACAGATATTACAACAACTCATCATATCGAGAGAAGCCAAAAATATTCAATTGTGTATCGTCTGCCGAAAGTCCGTTGACATGGCGAAATTTCGATACAGGAATATTGAATTCTTACAAAGTTGCACCACCAATGAGCTCCATGTGGTACTACGGTATTATGACTTACAGTAATTCGTTGTACGGGATCCTGTTGAATGTATTGTTACATAAAATACCCGCCATATTACTTGATTTCATACGTATTTTGATCGGGAAGAAAACAAAGTAAGTATTTAGTAAGTTTAAAATTTTTTTTAGTAATAACAACAACTTTGTAAATATTTTACGGTCAAATTGATTTTACTAAAACTTCGGAAGAACTATCTAATACTATAAAACAATCCAAAACGCCAGTTTCTCATTTGTAAAAGACTAATAATAAGTATATCACGTAGCTTTTTTTTCAAATGTTCTACTTATAAAATCTAATTTACATTGGGTTATAACATGTACCTATATCGGTTTTAATAGCTTTTAGGCAATACAGTAAACAACTGGTTCTGAGATAATGAAATATATAACCGTGTAAAAAAACAATTAAAGGTAAAGTTTTCTAAGGGCGGAATACGCTTTACTTAAATCTAGAAAATTTGAGCCAGTGTTCTTTATGTCTCATTAACGATGACAGTATTATCGATGGGGATCAATAAAAGTGCTTACTGCTGAAAAACCGAACATATATTGATTTTAGTTTCAAATATTTACTACGTCGTTAAAAACGAACCGATAATTGAAAATTGAAAATTCATACGCTAAAATTTTAAAAAAGTTGTCTACATATTTATGGAATTAAAGCTTATGTTCTATATGTACATATAACAACATTTCTAAATATTTAATAACGTAGTAAAACATGTACCTAAAAGTTTAGGGAAAAAATTTCTCATGTGTCTTACGCTAGTTGGTTCACCAGTTATAATTCCTTAAAAAATATACACTAAATAGTATAATTTTTGTCTTAATGTCTAAATTTTAATTTTTTTTTCAAATAGATTTTGGAAAATGTATGTCAATGCCGATAAAACGATGAATCTACTCGGTCCATTTACCACGAAAGAATGGAAATTTACTAATAACAACACAAGAGTTCTATGGTCTTCTATGAGTCAGAAAGACCAACAATTATTTCCGTTTAGTATGAACAACTTTGACTGGAATCAATATATAAATGTGTTTTATCATGGAATCCGTAAAAATAATCTCCACGAAGAAACTGATAACATTTGTATGGCTTTAAAGAAAAACAGAAAGTAAGCAATCATTTTTTATTGTTTCGAACAGAGTCAGAAATAATCTTTACTCATATGTATTCTATAATACATGTTTTTCAGATTGTACTGGATAAAACAATTTCTTGTATATTCGCTTATCTATGTTGTCTTAAGCATATTTTGGAAACACTTGTTCGTTTCGTCCCGTGAGCCGTGAGCCGTGACTCTTGAATTACGTTCCATTATAGCGTATTGTCCAATGTTTAATTATAATATAATTTTTGAGTTAAAAAACTGAGTTTTAAACAATCATTATTAATAATGCTTTTTTTGATAAAATTCAATTCAACAAAGAAATCTTATTAAGCTTACTCGCCTAATCGACATTAAAATATACAATAATGTGTGCATAAACAAGAAAAAAAATACACCTGCCACTTCCTGCAATTAAAGTTATGGTGTTAATTTAAAACTAAATAATTAGCATTGACCGCAACAGTTGGTTACCTAATTAATTATTAAAGTGACCTCAGTTAAATGTATTTTATGTAATATTCATTTACTGAATTGCTAATTACGTATTATGACGTAAATAATTAATTGTCGAATAAAATTAAAATAATTAATTATATTTGTATTATGTAATTATAATAAATGAATATAGTTAGTTTGTAGCTTACATTTGTAATTAGTTTATATTAGTGTAAAAATGTTTTAATTTTTCGTTAGACCACTATTGTTCTTAACGTCCCATTTTTAGTCTATTTCCTGAAAGTATACTTTATAAGATAATGCACAATACTATACCTATATGGCACCTTATATTGAAATAAATTGATTATTTTTAAAAATTTATTTGATACGCCCCTATACCTACTTCAATAGTCTCAAATTTAAATTAAACCCATTTTCAAACCAGTGAAGTCCAAACCAAGCACAGTATGAACCAGCACAGTAATAAAGTATTAAAGCGAGGTAGCAGTGTTTAAAAATTAGCATCAAAGAGTTTTTATTTAATATGGTTTTATCACTTTTATTAATAATTATTTCTGTATACCTGTGACCTCTCCGTCCCCACTATGTTCCAATCCCCCTGTACTGGGTTATTTTTTATTTGTTTTGTACGTAAGGCGTTAGTTAACAGTTAATTTTTTTAACTATTAATAGTTTTGAAAAATATACTAATGGCAGATCTAGAACTGGGCTTTAACATAATATTATACAATATTCTCAAAAATCTGTGTTAAATTTTTTTAGCCGAGATGCTAATTTTATGAAGAAAGAACCCCCAAAAAAGGAGAAGATAATTTCTAGGTTACACCGTTTGAATAAACCAACAGCCATTAAGTATATGAAAAATATTATTATTATATTTTGATTATCATATAAAGTTGACAGCGGCTACAAAAAAAAACGATCAAACAAAACAAATTTTTGGATACTGAATTTTTTAGGCAACTCGGTTTCAACGTTTGACAAAACCGTTTATTGCTAACAATATTATTGGTTGATATTACAAGTTTTTTCACAACATGCACATTTTTAAAAAAAAAAATTAATTACAATCCATAAAATAATATAGTGTCATATAGGGAATTTTCGGTGTACAAATTAACAATTTTACCGTTTGCCATTTGGCCTAGATTTATTGCTTTTTTCCATAATTGTGTCATATCTCGTTCCTACTGCACAAGTCTTTTGCGTCATACTTTAATAAAACCGTTAGTCAGAGTGACACTTGCTAAAACAGCTTGTATTGTGTTCATTTTCATTTTCCTCTCTGCGTTATTAAGTTGTCTATCTGGTAAAACTCAAACGGTGCTTTTCAGAACTCCAATATTTCGTTATTACAATATGCAAAAAATGATTATTTTTTTCGTAGCCCTTATTACCTTAGAAATATCATCGGGTAATTTGTGTTTGTATTTTTTTCACAATAATATTGAATTACAGTCTCAGGTTGATAAACCGAAATAAACATAGACACTATAGTTTGATACTTTTCAAGTACCTATCTAATTAAACAACATATTGTATTGACTAAAGTTGATTGCTTCAATGGATTATGCAAATTTTCCACAAAAACTTATGCATTCGAGTAAGAGTTTTTACTAATACATAATTTTGTTTTATATTTAGTCGCACTAGGCCAGCCATATCAAGGTAAGTATGCAGTAACCACTAACAATTAACGGTACGCCATACAGTGTTATTTAGTTTCTTATATAATTTATGTATAAACTTTTTAATTTATTTTTCTTAAACGTTTGTATGATTCTTATGTAAACTACTATCGCAAAGTAATAACATAGTCCTAGAGCCATAATGACGGTATATTAGATATAGCATTTATTAACAATTTTATTTATATAATTTGTTCTATTAGATGGACTTAGTTTAAATGGACACAAAGGTCAGTATTAACTGTAGAACAGTCATTGAAAACATATTGCCTATTGTTTTTACATTTATGTATTTTTATTTTCAATTTTCGTTTCTGGGCTGACAATATTTAATCATTTGAAATGTTGGAATTGCTTTATTAAATTTGTGGTTTTAAATACAGTTTTTTTTTTTTTGCTGTAACTAGTTTAAAGTAAGTTCAAGTAAATAGTTGTATCTCTTTGTTTTACGTTTCTGCATTCTCCAATTAAATATCTGAAACAACTTACTATAGCACTATAGTTATAACTCTAAGGTATCTAAATGACATTTTGTAATGCTAGGATTTGATCACTTCAATGTATTGTACATATTTTTCTCACACACTTATTTATGTGAGGTTGCATTCATAATAATTACTGATTTACATTTAGTCCCTCTAGCTTTGCCGTATCATCAAGGTTAGTAATCATTAGCAAATAAATGCACGTTATATTTACCTCACACACTCATGTATGTAATTATGAATTTATATTGGTAACTCTTTTTTTTTTATTTAGCCCCATACGCTATGCCACATTCTCAAGGTAAGTAATAATTAATAAATAAAGGCACGTTATAAATTTAACATGGTTTTTTTAAATAATTTTACAAATTTTAATTTCAATGCGGAATAGAGACGATATTGTTTTAACAATGCGTTTTATTTTTTAATTAATTCGTTATATATAAAAACTAATTTTACCAACTACAGGAAAGAAGTGGAGTGGAGTCTCTTTATAAACGTCCCCCAGAAGTCGTTCTGTTCACTGGTTGTTCTTAAAAGGGTGGGGGGATGGATGAGTCGTAGGAATGAAATTTCGTGGTTTTCTCAGTACTTATGCGTTAGTTATTCAAAATAATATTGAAAATATTACAATTAATATATATGAGTGAAAATGTATTGTTCTGAGTATACAATTTTATAAAGTACTTATCAAATTTTCGATATTTATATATTACATTATTATGAGCTATAAAGTACTGCTTGTGAAAATTATTAATGTATTATTTTTGGAATTGTTCTATCTCGATTTTTTGTTCCCTGAAGTTGACAAAATATTACCCTTGCTGTAATTTAAGCTTTAATTATTAAAATTAATTAAACTTCCACATATTTTCCTCAAAAACATATGAATGCTTGTATGATACCTAATTTTGTTTTTTATACATAGAGTCTTTTAGTATTCCATATTCAACAAGTAAGTAAAAATCAAAGGCACGTTATGTTTTACATAGTTGTTTTGTATTTAAACAAATCTCCTTGGTTTTTTGAAGGTAAGACCTTGGATTATAATCGTGTGTTATGGTAGAAAGAAGGAAATTTAACGTGACGTATAAAATGGACAAAATATATTTTATTTCTTAAAGCAAGGGATGATTTACAATCAAATTTCTTTTTTTTTCAAAGACAAACTACACAGAACACTTAAACAAAACCCAACTGGTTAATACATACAACACAAAAAAAATTTTGCCTAATACAAATTTTTCCTTCAATGCGGAGCTAAGAAAATATGGTTTTCATATCAATGTGAAAATGTTCGTATGAACTCATGTTATTAATACACAATTTTTCTCTTAACATTTAGTCCAACCAGCCGGGGCATACACACAATATAAGTAACAATAAACATATTAAAGCATGTAAGGAAATAAAATATCGAACACTTTTTTATGTGAGAATGAACTGATATTATTACTTAATTTTATTATTTTTATTTAGTCCCTCTACCTACGCAGTATCATCAAGGTAAAATACCGTTAACAAATAAACCCACGTTATCATTACAATTTATTAGGAATTTGTATTGATACTACGTTTTTTTTTTATTTCGCCTCTCTAGCTATGCCGTTTTCTCAAGGTGAGAAACAAATAACGAAACGATACAAATTTTACTTAGTTTTTCATAATAATTTTACATATTTTAATTTCGATGCAAAATAAAGAGGATATACTTGAATGCATTGCACATGTGTCTTTTCCACAAAAAATAATGATTGTGAGTATGAATTAATACTGATTTTTCTCTCTAAATTTAATCCAGCCAGTTGGCCACAATTATCCACAAGGTTAGTAAAAATGTACAATTAAAGGTACGTTACACATTTTATTTAGTTGCTTATAAAAATTATTTACATTTAAGTTCCAGTACAGAGTTATGAACGTACTTCTTGAATAAATATGTATTAACAACTCTAGGCATTTTTTTTTTAATTACAAATAACCGATAGATATATTAAAAATAATGTTGAAATTTGCTATCAAAATACATATTAAATCGATTGAAATTTGAGATGAGCAAAAAGGTGGTACAGTCCACCTCCTGACATACATCTTACACTTTAGTAGCAAAAAAAGTAATTATCAAAACCTGGTGAACGATCAAGCAACGTTTTCAGAAAATTGTTCTTAATTAAAAAATGTATTTAATAAAATACACATTACCGTTAAAGTTTTAAAAGTTTATAGAGCTCTAGAAAATACTAAAAAAAAAAAAATACTTAGTAATTTTATAATATTGTAAAATAACACAAATATTAATGCGGAAAACTGTACACTTAATTTTATAATTATGACTTAATTTATCTAAGTGATTATGAGTATGAAATTTTTCTCTTTATGTTTAGTCCCACCAGTTGGGCCATATTATCCACAAGGTAAGGAACAATTAACAATTAACGGCACGTTACACGGCACACTTTTATTTATATTAAGTATTTTTTTACGAAAAACCAATATTTTTAAAATAGTAACGGCTCATTGTTTTTTATTCTCTAGTGTAATATCTTAAATTAACACTATACTATAGTTAAAACTCTAAGGTATCTAATTAAATTATATATTGTATTGTCTGATCTGAATTACTTTAAGACGTAATACTTATTTTCCTCACACGTGTATACAAGTATGAATAAATACTTAATAATTATACTAGTAATTAATAGTTAATACCTATTTTTTTTTTATATTGTTCCTAACAGGTGCACCATATAACCCGCATGGTAAGTAACATCTAACAATTAAAGGTACATTATACATGTATAATATAATTTATATTATTTGAAATTTATAAAGATAGTACCTTCGATGCAGAGTTGAATAAGCTGTATTGTCTTTACATTGATAGTTTTAAGTATTTATAGTTTTTATACTGTCTCAAATAATATATATATATATATATTATATATTAATATATGGGGCATTCTGAGTCAAACCACGCGGTCATCGGCATGACCTCCTCAATTATTTTTTTTAACTTCTTTTGGTTTAATATAAGACTTTTATTTTTTTGAAATTTTTATCACTAATTTGTGCCCCAAAAATAGAGGTTTTTTAAGTTATTTTTCAAAATAAATAGATTTAGACCGGTTTTAAATTCCTGAAATTTTTATCAAAAAATCAGAGACTTAAACTAAATCTTTTCGTCTAATAACGGGAGTAAGTCTCTGATTTTATGATAAAAATTTCAGAAATTTAAAAAAGGTCGAAATCTATTTTTTTTAAATAACTTAAAAAACCTCTATTTTTGGGGCAAAAATGTATGATAAAAACTTTTTAAAAATAATAGTCTTATATTAGACCAAAAGAAGTTTAAAAAAAAATCAAGGAGGTCAGGCTGATGACCGCATGGTTTGACTCAGAATGCCCCATATACAATTTTTATTTTTTTGAAAGATATTCAAATAGCCAAATACGTTTTTTTATTTTCAAAGAAATTGAATATCAAAAATGTTTATTTACTACACTAAAGCTTTATGTTGAATTAAATAACATAATATATGTACTGATAGGAGTTGATTACTTAAACGAATTCTAATTTTCTTCTTTATATTTAGCAAGTACCTATTCGACATATCCACTAGGTAAGTAATATTAATTACAACTAACATAACGTTAGCCTATTACTTACTTTTTTACATAAATTATGCACACTACTGCTTCGAAACCAAGCTGAGAATATATCGTTTTTATACTAATGAGTTTTTATTTTATTAGTTTATAGTTTATCTAATTATTTTTAATTTGTAACCATTCATAAAATAAATTTATATTTATATATAATAATAATATTCTATAGTTATGACTTTATTACTGATTGTATTAATGGAAGTGATTATATTCTTTACATTATATTTTCCTATTAATACCAAACTTTATTCTTTATATTTAGCCCCATTCTATCCGCCACAAGGTAAGTGATATTTAACAGTTTACGGCATATTATACATTATATAACTGTTATAGCCATTAATGTAGTTTTTCATGGATATTAAGTAAATGAAAACTTCTTATTTTATTCTGAAAAGATAAATTATTTACAAAAACATATAAAATTAGACATTTTAACTTAACAAAACATAACATTAATAATTAAAATATAACAATTTAGCCTACCAAAATATAACAAATAATTACTTGAAAATAATGGTTTATTTAAATCGTCCAATTACGTTGTTAAATAAATTTGTAATTGTAATATATTTTTATTTGCAATTTTAAATGTGTTATTATTTTATATATTTCAATATTTGTAATTTCAATTGTTATTTAATTTAAGTCAAAGCATAAATTGAATAATTTTTTTTTTGCATAATATTAGCCATGTAGGCCTCTAGCCTACTCGGAGGCTACTCGAATAATCACTTGAGCTTTTTTAAAACTAAGTATTATGTTTTCATAGTACATAAGAATATATTATTTTTTATTAATACTTAATTGGTATTAATAAAAAAAAATATTTTAGTAAGATATTATATGATATGCATTAAAACCGTAAGATTATTAATTTAGTGATTCACTTACATAAATAATTATATTTAAGTAAGTTAGTATAATTAATAAATCAATTTGAAAATTTCAGATTACAATTGTCATGTTCATTATAATCCTCATCACCACCACTATCGTCGTCATCATCACCGTCATCACCATGATGATTGTTAAAAATAAGGTAGCCCAAAAAGCTTACCGTTGATTATATATATATATATATATGTATATGTATAACATGATGCTTGTATTGTATATTATTGACGTTAATGCAAGATAATGGTCTCTAATTGTACAAAAGCCAGCACATTTTTAGTGTCTCTAAAAATGAGTGATATTAAAGATAAAAGTCTAAACTCTAAGTTGAAAAAAACAAACCGTTTATGGGTTATGGGTGGGTTTAGAGAATAACTTTTATAAGTCTATTTGTAACATAAACTTCACTTATTTTGGCAATGATGTCATTACAAAAAAAAAGTTGTATTCGAGCTATGAACGATAATACAGTTTTTTTTATATTACAGAATGGATCCTTAGGTGTCGTTGAAAATATATCCAGTTACTTTGAAATGCAGAATAATTATTTTCGAATTGTTTAAACTTTTACTAACCCAAAATTATATATTTCATTGAATCATAATAAACGTTTGATATTTGCCAAATTTAAAATGTGTTACCATTCATTAGTTGTACTTATCTGTACTGTTAAATAAAATTAAGATAAATTAACTGGTTGAGTTAAAATATAAAAATTTTGTTGAGGTAAGTTTTGAGTAATGTATTTTGTGAGTAAGGTGGCTCTTAGAGTGAAAGGAAAAAATAAAGTCTCATAAAGTTCTACATTTGTGGCTAATTAACACCATATACAAAAAAAATCAAATCCCTATGGGGATGTGAAAATGGGTATAATTTAAAAAAAGTAATAAAATTAAGAACTAATTATAATTTATAGCTATGAAATACTTTTGGAAAATATTTGAAATTGAATATGATAGTCAACCATGTGACTAAAATGAAGCCATCAGTCACATAATATTTTCGACATAATATATATGTATTCTCCTTAAAAAAGTTATTGGAATTATTAGGCTATAATATGGTTTAACGTTAACCAAAGTAGATGCAAGTTGAAAATTGCTGCCAAATGTGTACTTTTTGTCTCTCTTTTGTACTTTTTATCTATACATTTAAATTTACAAATAAAAATATTATTTATAATATTATCTTTAAAAATTATAATATTTTTAATTAATCAATTTTTTAATGCCAACTAGATCTGGAGGGATGGATAAAAATTAATATAATTTAATATCATTAAACAACCAGAAACCAAATACATTAGATTAAACGTGTGCATATATCAAAAATGTCAATTTTGCTTAATCTGTTCATCTGGTGCAGACAAAATATCGTCAATATGAGAAAGGAATGTCCTCGTGACATCTAAGTGCATGTCTTTGAAAATAGTACCTCGGAGAATGTTCAAAAAATCTTTCACGTGTTTCAGGGGCTCAATTTCGTCAGTTTGATAGTTTGACAAATCAATTTCTTTATTAGCATTGAGTGCGTTAACATATTCATTATCAGCAACTGTTAAAGTTATATCCTCAATCAAGCACTCCAGCGAAGAACATAATAATTCAACGTTTGTCATTAACTGAGATATTGTTTCCTTTATATCTACCTTTTTATTGGCAATATCTTCGGTAGCTCTCAATAAGTAATTCAAGTTTGGATCGTCTTTGATTACTAACATGTGTTTGCAGTCATTGAGTAAGTCAATTAATTATGCCGCGCAACTTGATTTCTGTGCTTTGTCTGATATCATAGCTATACACAGCAAGTGTCTCCAATACAGCCTAATCAAAATGATATTCAAAAAATCATTATGCAACGTGAAGTACGATTTGATTTTTTTGTAGTGTTCTACGGTCAAATCAAATTCTAACCAAATTTTATCCCAAGATCTTTTTAACAGTTGGTGAGTGCCTTTGCAATTTACATTTGTGAAATCGCACTTCATTAGGCGTACTTTGTGATCAATACTATTGCCCAAACCGTTCAAGAAGAGTGTTTGCGGTTCCAACGCACCGTTTAGGTTTTAAGAAGAAAACATAATTTAGTATAATGTTTTGTATTCTTATTCAGTAACCCGTTAGTCATACACCAATGTAATAAATAAGAATTAGATCCAAAACAAAAACAACATCTTTAAAATCGACTTAAATACATTCAATGAGAAAATAAAACAATTTTGATTATTTTTTATATTCTGGGGCCATTTATTTTGGTATTTAAGCAATTGTAAATGTTGGACAATTGACAGATCTCAACGTCTCAAAATGCTCATATATTATCACCTTCATAAACGCCCTCCGACGCCCTTAAAAATTTAATATTTTAAATAGCAAATATAAATTATTATTTTCATCACAAAGAATAATCAGAATTTGCTCATGAAAATATAATGTGTATATTAAGAAACTTATTTTTTGGTTTATACTCGTTTACTTCTGCGAAAAAACATACAACCAGTAAAAACCATTTGCATATTTGCTTTACATTGTAGACACAATTGCAAGGAGGTGAAAACAACAAAAAAAAAAAACAAGTTATTTTGCAACTTACAAAACAACTGGCAAAAATATTACTAATACTTTGTTCTTCTGCTGAAAATACTGTACTACAGTTTACAAGAAATCACTTAGAAGTGCAGTACTTAGTTAAGTCATGTTTACATTGAATATTATTGTTCTAACAATGCGTGATTTAAGCATTTTATTTTTTCTCATATCGATCATGACGAAGACTTCAGGTATAATAATCTAATTTAAAACTTATTAATATTAACTAATTTAAAACACTGCACAACGAAATTGTACATTTTATATGGAACAACAATAAAAAATATACGAGTATATCGGATATATTTTGTGGTTCAGATAAAAATGTCCATATTATTTATTGTTATTAATATAATTATATTTGATCAGTAGCTGAATATTTGTATAATAACAGTTTCAATTATTCCTCTGACTAAATTTGTACAATGTATACTGAGAGTACACACTACATAGGTACATAAACTGAACTGTATACAAGGAAGGCGCATAATGCTTTTTTTCCATATTATAATAAAAGTGACCCGCCTCGGAGGCCGCCATTTTGAATCCGTTTTCTTATTTTACTTACCGTGTCTAACTTTATTTAGTGATTTTCGATTATGGTTTCTGACTTCATATTGTTGATATCATTTTTTTTAACCCGTGATAAAAGAAAATACGATGTTATCAGATTTTATCATGGAATAAATGGTATGTTACACCGTTTTATCCATGACATGACTCAAAATGGCGGAATTCGTGTGTGACCAATTTATTTTCACTATGCGGTTTCCATGTATAATAGTTCAGTGGGTAAATATTATTATATAGAATAGTATACAAAAACGTTAACAACAATATTTTTAACATTAATATTTACTCTACGTGCTAAAAAAGCTCTGGAAAAATAGATATTTGTTAGGTATTTTGGTTATTGTTCCAAATTTATGTTGTACCATGTAAATTGCCTAATTTTATTCCTACATTTTTTAAAAATATTGTTTTTTTACCTTTACAATTTCTGCGACAATAATAAATAACAGCATTATATTTTTACTTACATAAAATTGATAAAAATTTAAATTATACATAAAACATTTGTGTTTCAGAGGCGACTCGTGGTAATGATAGGTATGATGATAACTCATCTCAGGAAAGTAAGTTATTTGCATTAGTTATAACTTAAAGAGGTTGTTGTGTTTGAAAAACCTAAATAATTTTCTATATTGTATTTCAAATAAGGTTTTTGATTATATTTCTTTGATAAATTCAGAACTGGTCACAAAACAAATGTATAATATATGAATTTTAATTTTTTTTTTAACACAAACAATTTTTTGTTCAACTTATTAGATTAATAAATCTATATAATAAATATCAGTGACAACATTTTAAAAAAACATGTGTATTTTTGTTTCAAATTAGTTTCAATAAAAGCGATTTAGATAGGAGGCGTATGGAAATAGAAATTGTAATGATAATGAAATTCTGAGGGCAGAAACAGGTTCCACAAAAAACTATTATGAATAAACTATTTATATTTAGTGTTTCGAGTTTCCAATAAAAGACAAAATTTAGTTGTACAATGTATACTGAGTACATACTACATAATATATACACAATAGTATTCAAAAAACTTTAGCAACAATAGTTTTGTCAAGTATTGATGTATATTAACTTTACGTGCTAAAAAATATTTAAAATCCTTACCCATTAATAATACTTCTGTTTCCATCTCTTCCAGGGGCATTGTAGTTTCTATTAATTAAATTTAATATTAAGTAATAATTCTAAATGTTTACATTAGGACAATTTGATGTAATTAATATTGTATCTTAAGTGGGCGTCGCACCGGTGATTTTCAGTGGTAAAAACATGTTTAAGCAGACTGAAACTAACTTGCTTAATTTTGGTTTTAGAGTAAAAGCACCCATTATAAAATTAAAAGAAAACAATATTCCGGAGAGCAAGACGGTGCGTTTTTCTTTTAAATTAATTTTTGGAAAGTTACAGTCATTTAAAAATGTTAAAATAGTCGTTTTTTCTAAACTATGTATTGAGCGTTATACTTAGAATAATGAAAAAAACGCACCGTTTTGCCTTCCAAAATATTTCTTTTAATTTTTGTAATGGGTGCTTTTACTCTAAATCCAAAATTAAACGAGTTATTTTCAGTCTGCTTAAACAAGTTGAGATGAAAAAACATTTTTAAATCGCTTTCAAGGATGCTGTGATAGTCCAAAAAATAAATTAACTCCCAAAATAGTCCTAGTTATTGAACTAATAATTGCACATCACAGTTTAACCTATAAATTAAGATTTTGTAAAAAATTGACTATACTTTACTCCTTAAAGATGGGCGGTGCGACGCCCTCTTAAAGTACAAAAAAAGTTAGAATATACAATTATTCACGTTTATAATGTTTAAGTCACTTTTTGAGTTTTATCATTATAAAAACAAACGTTGACTAGATTTTTTTTTTTTTACACATGTTATAGGTATATGTAAAGCAATTTTTACAATTCGCATTACATAAGTGATTATATCTCTTTGTCTAAGGATTCTAAAAAATGTATGTATGTGGTTTTATTTTCCAGACACTCATATCTCAGCAACAGTTGAATCAGCAACTACATCCCTAGAAATAGCACTGCCAGAAATAACAACCGCTCCATCTACATCATCGCCAATACATTCAGGTGTTAACTCATTATTTTCTTATGTTTGTCCGTTGAAATTTGTGGTTATGATGATTCGTCTACGCTAGTTGAAATAATTTCGATAATTTACACTCTAAGGGGAATAAAGTAAAAAAAAATTTAAAAGATATTTACGGTTTAATGTCCAACTATTCAATTGTTATTATTTTTTTTTTTCCGAAACGTAGTCTATAGCTGTTCAAAAAATTATTGCATAATAATTATAATAATTGTACACAGTTAGCTATTTAACACTACAATTGTTGTGAAAATAATAAATAACAGTAGTAATAAAAAAAAACATTTTTAATTTTACAATACACATTAATTGTTTTTCAGAGGCGTCCTCTGATAGTGAAAGAGATGATGATAAGTCATCTCAGGGAAGTAAGTTATTTGCATTAGTTACATTTTAAAGAGGCTAAGAACCTAAAAATAAATAAACTAAGACTAATTGACTTTTACTTCATTTAGTTTAATAATAGTAACGCTACTCTTTTACCTTTAATGCTTAACACTTGGCCAGTTTCTGATTGATTCGTCTACGCTAGTTGAAATAATTTCGATAATTTACACTCTAAGGGGAACACAGTTAAACAAAGTTTAAAAAGTATCTACCGTTTAATGTAAAATACTCAGTTGGTTTTCGTTCGTAATTATTATTATTTTCTGATACATAGGTTACAACTGTTAAAAAAATGCATTGCATAATAATTATAGTAACTGTACAAATTTAGCTTTTTTACCATTTCAATTTTTGCGAAAATAATAAATAACAGTATCATATTCTCACTTACATCAATTTAAAAACACATTTGTATTTTAGAGGCGTTTTTTGGTATTCAAGACCATGATGACACCTCATCTCCGGAAAAAAGTAAATTTAAATGATTAAGTAAATTTCCAGCTAAATTGGTTAGACTTTTACTTCGTGAAGTTTATTATAATGCATCTTTTGTAAGAAAAGGGGAATATTTCTCAAATGTTATAGAATTAATAAAAAAGTATTCTTTTTTACCTTATGAATATGATTAATGATATTGATCATACCTTTGATATCAAAGGTAAGTTTTAAGGTAAAATTATCTGTTGTTTTTTGTTCTGATACATAGCTGTGGAAAAAGTTATGGCTATGGTTGTAGTTTTTGGTTATGGTGGTACGTCTACGCTGTTCTTTTAGTATTTATTTCAGGAATTTAGTTCTGTAGGTATTTCTCATAAAAAATCGAAAAAAAAAGAAATAATAAACTCTATTCGGGAGTTATAATAAATAATAGTAATAATAATCCCCAACAAAAACTTACCCGTAAAAAAAGGGCCAAGTTCCAGACTTTCCCAAAGAAGTCAGCCTTTCGAAGTAACGATTGAATAACGAAGAAAGTCTACATTGTGGCCAAGTGTACTCTATTTAAGTCCATAACCTCACTCCACCCTTACTGCATGAGCAACACTGCTCTTTTATTTTTATGTTTATTGCCTAACACTTGACCAGTTTCTGAATTAAACATAAAATATAGATAAGTTTTTCCAGACCAAACCCGTTACAAAGATTCTACTTTACAGTTGCGGATATCCCTATTGGTTCATCAACGCCACCAACAACACCGGGTCTATCTCCATCATCGCCAACACACGCAGGTGATTTTTTCATCAAGTTGTTATGTTTGTCCTTTGTAAGAAAAAACGTTTTGCATTATATCTCCCGGACTCCTATTAGAAAACATGTTTTAATTTTATAAATTTACTAAAATTGTAAAAAAAAAAAATTAATTAATAATTGCTAAATAGAAAAAATATCATGTACGTACAGTTAAGTGAACTCGTATACTTGCATAACATTTTATAGATATTATATGTGTATAATTTTGTTTAGCTTTGAATTTTCAGAGCGACAGTTACCGTTGGCCACTTTCACGACTATAGTGCGACTATGACTATTGCTTTAAAGATAATTGACTGTGAAATGTGTCTGAAACGTCAGCAAAAACAAAAACAAAAAAATGGATATAAAGATAAACTAAAATGATAAAATTAAGAAACCATATGTTTTTATTTTACAGTTCCAAGCTACCGCGATATCGCCGTAAAATGCAAACACTTGTATAAAGTAGTTACGCATATGAAGTTAACGGCTTTGCAGCTTGATGAAACAAAACATTGGTCAAGCCTGATCAAAGAAATTCGTGAATATAACGTTATAGACCCGATAAGCTCGTTGTACAATAGAAGCGCTTATTTGATTGGCTCTTTGTGGGACTTTTATTTATATAAGCATTGGCTGAAGAGGGCAGAAATACACAACTTGAAAAACGACATAATCCAACAAAAGAGGGTAATCACTGTTCATAGAAACGTTATTAAGTCACTGGAGAACGACTTGAAAAACACTAATTGTCCCGAAGATCACAAAGATAATTCGTTTTCCAAGTGGAGAAAGGATCACCCAAAGCCTAAGGCGGTCGACATAACAGCTGCGGTAAAGAGAAACCAGGGCATTAAATGCTGGCGAGAGATGAAAGGACTTTTTTGTAACAAAGTAAAATTAAATGATGCGTTGGAACCGGAAACACTCTTCGTGAGAGTTTTAGGCGACCGGGACAGACGATTAATGAATTTCGATTTCATAAATGTAAATTGGACCGGCACAAGCCGAGTATTAAAAAATATTTGGGATGGAATTTGGTTCGAATTTGACGTGACCGTAGAACACTACGAAAAAATCAAATCGTACTTCACGTTGCACAACGATTTTGTAAATATCATTTTTGTTAGGCTATGTTGGAGACATTTGCTGTGTATAGAACAAATATCAGACAAAAAACAGAAATTAAGTTACGGCGCACAATTGATTGCCTTACTCAACGACTACAAACAGTTGTTAGTAATCCAAGACGATCCCAACCTGAATTACTTATCGAATGTTATCGAAGATACTGCCAATAAAAAGGTAGATTTAAAGGAAACAATATCTCAGTTAAAGACAATCATTGAACCGTTGTGTTCTTCGCTGCAGTGCTTAGGGGTCGCGGATATGGATTTAAAAACTGTAAATCAGAACACTATTATGGCACTCAATGCCGATAAAGAAATTGATTTCTTAAACGTTCGACCTGACGAAATTGACCCCCTGTTTAACGTGAAAGATTTTTTGAACGAACTCCGAGGTATTTTCAAAGACATGCACTTAGATGTCACGAGAACATTCCTTTCTCATATTTATCATTCGTTGCATGCACCAGATAAACAGATTAAGCAAAATTGACATTTTCGATTTATGCACACATTTTTAATATAATTTATTTCGTTTCTGGTTGTTCAATTATATTCAATTCTATTTATCTATTTACATATAGTTAGTATTCAAAAATTATTTAATTAAAAAAATTAAAACTTTTGTCATTTTACATTGAAATTATTATGTTTTTTATGTTTCTATTCAATCTAAAACCTGTATAATAAGCTAAGTGATGTATCATTCATAAGCGCATTTTATGTTAAATAGTTATAAAGTTGGTTTGATTTTTGATCAAAACTACACGTAACATATTTCACACCCTTTTGATTTTCGATCGCTTCAAATGAGTCGACCAGTTCCAAAAACCACTTGGTAAAAATTGTAAAGAAATTGAGACGAGTTTAGGTTTTAAACAAATGGAGTGGTGGTGTAGTTTTGTTCTTAAACCCACTATGTCATTTTGAAAATAAAGCAGTTGTGTTGTGTCGCCACAGTTTTTCTTAATTATCTCAAAATGAGGTGATATAGACATAAAGGCTTTTGGACAGGAACGATTCTGACGTTGTACTAAACATGTTGAAAGCGGGAAAACCCAATCAAAGAGTGCAGTTTTCGTTAATAGCCTTGTATGATGTATCAGTCACGGGTGTCTATAAATAAACAATTTTTCAATTGTTAAACTAGACACGAGTTGTTATGGTGCCACCCTAGGGTACGTGTCCTTCCCTTATTTGTGGGGATTTCAAAACTATTAATAATCAGACGTAACCATATAGATCTCAAACTGGGTTCGGATTTAGCGAAAAATATAGGTATGTATCATACCTTTATAAATATTTCACAAGTTGTGGATGTACAAAATCAGGTTATTGTCGTTAACACGTTCACCGCTGAATAAGGCGTTGTGCGTATGCAATTATGCTACTCTGGTGTGTCGAAAGATCTTTTTCGCGTTCTTAAAAAAATAATACAATACAGGGTAATTCGTTAAGAATAAGACACTCCACACCTCTTAATATAATAGCAATTTTTTAATTTTTCTTTTTCAAAACATTTTTGTTTACGATATTACAAATTTACTATTTACCTTTATTGATGGATGCAAAAAAAATAAAATCATTAAATCCGGTAAAACTTATGGACGATAAATTCGTTCTTCTACATTAAATAGCACTACTATCGTTGTTGATAATATTGTTTTTGATAGTAGCTACGTGTACGTTAAAATTTGTCCATGTTGTTCAAAGCATCCTCATAACTCGGAGATGTTGTTATTGAAGTTCCTAAATGATTTCCTGTAAACTGTAGTAGAGTATGTTGAGGAGAAGAACAAGGTATTATCATATTATTTTTGCCAGTTGTTTTATAAGTAAAATAACATGTTTTGTTTTTTTTTTACTTACTTGCATTCGTGTTTACAATGTAGAGTAAATATACAAACCGTTTTTACTGGTTGTAAGTTTTGTCGCAGCTCTAAACTAGTATAAACCAAAAAAAAAGTTCCTTATTATACACATTATATTTTCATAAGCAAATTCTTAATATTCTCTGTGATGAAAAATAGTAATTTATAATTGCTATTTAAAATATTACTTCTAAATACAAATCAAATATCAGTAAATAGCCTTTCCAAAAAGTCTAGGCTTTAAGCTGGGGGAGTTAGTATTCCATTATAATATTAGTCATTATACTATTAAATCATACAATGGCGTATTTACAGGGGTGATAGGTATGTTATTTGTACATTATATCTTCAGTGTTAGCAACGGTCATTAATCGGATAATGGAGAATTATTAAATGGAGAATCATTCAAGGGTCTGTTGGGCGAGTAGGAAGCGAAGAAACTTTGAAATTTATAAGGAATAAAAGACCCGGACAGTAAATTGTATCATTAATACATCAAACAGCAAACTTGTATGTTTCACTTAATTTATTGTAGTTTTATTTATTTATTGCGTTTTAGATATTCCCAATTTTATATTAACGTGGTCTGGTTAATAGTGATTCAAATCAGTGTAAAGAAAATGTTTCCAAAACTATTACCGATGAAGTTAATTTTAGTCAGCAATCGAATATCTTGGATAGGTTAGTATATATTGTTCTTCAAAATGTATTTGTCATTGTATTTTTTGTTTTCGTTTTTCAAGAACTTTTATAGTGAATAACAGAGATCAAACAAAGTACGAACAATATATGGAGACACCCAGTCAAACACCAAATAATGACAATAGCAGTTTTAATTTAAATTCAAAACTGAATATTGTATGTATTGAAAAAGTACAATTTGAACTTCAATAACAATATCTCCGAGTTATGAGGATGCTTTGAACAACATGGACAAATTTTAACGTACACGTAGCTACTATCAAAAACAATATTATCAACAACGATAGTAGTGCTATTTAATGTAGAAGAACGAATTTATCGTCCATAAGTTTTACCGGATTTAATGATTTTATTTTTTTTGCATCCATCAATAAAGGTAAATAGTAAATTTGTAATATCGTAAACAAAAATGTTTTGAAAAAGAAAAATTAAAAAATTGCTATTATTTTAAGAGGTGTGGAGTGTCTTATTCTTAACGAATTACCCTGTATTGTATTATTTTTTTAAGAACGCGAAAAAGATCTTTCGACACACCAGAGTTGCATAATTGCATACGCACAACGCCTTATTCCGCGGTGAACGTGTTAACGACAATAACCTGATTTTGTACATCCACAACTTGTGAAATATTTATAAATGTATGATACATACCTATATTTTTCGTTAAATCCGAACCCAGTTTGAGATCTATATGGTTACGTCTGATTATTAATAGTTTTGAAATCCCCACAAATAAGGGAAGGACACGTACCCTAGGGTGGCACCATAACAACTCGTGTCTAGTTTAACAATTGAAAAATTGTTTATTTATAGACACCCGTGACTGATACATCATACAACGCTATTACCGAAAACTGCACTCTTTGATTGGGTTTTCCCGCTTTCAACATGTTTAGTACAACGTCAGAATCGTTCCTGTCCAAAAGCCTTTATGTCTATATCACCTCATTTTGAGATAATTAAGAAAAACTGTGGCGACACAACACAACTGCTTTATTTTCAAAATGACATAGTGGGTTTAAGAACAAAACTACACCACCACTCCATTTGTTTAAAACCTAAACTCGTCTCAATTTCTTTACAATTTTTACCAAGTGGTTTTTGGAACTGGTCGACTCATTTGAAGCGATCGAAAATCAAAAAGGTGTGAAATATGTTACGTGTAGTTTTGATCAAAAATCAAACCAACTATATAACTATTTAACATAAAATGCGCTTATGAATGATACATCACTTAGCTTATTATACAGGTTTTAGATTGAATAGAAACATAAAAAACATAATAATTTCAATGTAAAATGACAAAAGTTTTAATTTTTTTAATTAAATAATTTTTGAATACTAACTATATGTAAATAGATAAATAGAATTGAATATAATTGAACAACCAGAAACGAAATAAATTATATTAAAAATGTGTGCATAAATCGAAAATGTCAATTTTGCTTAATCTGTTTATCTGGTGCATGCAACGAATGATAAATATGAGAAAGGAATGTCCTCGTGACATCTAAGTGCATGTCTTTGAAAATACCTCGGAGTTCATTCAAAAAATCTTTCACATTAAACAGGGGGTCCATTCCGTCAGGTCGAACGTTTAAGAAATCAATTTCTTTATCGGCATTGAGTGCCATAATAGTGTTCTGATTTACAGTTTTTAAATCCATATCCGCGACCCCCAAGCACTGCAGCGAAGAACACAACGGTTCAATGATTGTCTTTAACTGAGATATTGTTTCCTTTATATCTACCTTTTTATTGACAGTATCTTCGATAACATTCGATAAGTAATTCAGGTTGGGATCGTCTTGGATTACTAACAACTGTTTGTAGTCGTTGAGTAAGGCAATCAATTGTGCGCCGTAACTTAATTTCTGTTTTTTGTCTGATATTTGTTCTATACACAGCAAATGTCTCCAACATAGCCTAACAAAAATGATATTTACAAAATCGTTGTGCAACGTGAAGTACGATTTGATTTTTTCGTAGTGTTCTACGGTCACGTCAAATTCGAACCAAATTCCATCCCAAATATTTTTTAATACTCGGCTTGTGCCGGTCCAATTTACATTTGTGAAATCGAAATTCATTAATCGTAGGTCCCGGTCGCCTAAAACTCTCACGAAGAGTGTTTCCGGTTCCAACGCATCATTTAATTTTACTTTGTTACAAAAAAGTCCTTTCATCTCTCGCCAGCATTTAATGCCCTGGTTTCTCTTTACCGCAGCTGTTATGTCGACCGCCTTAGGCTTTGGGTGATCCTTTCTCCACTTGGAAAACGAATTATCTTTGTGATCTTCGGGACAATTAGTGTTTTTCAAGTCGTTCTCCAGTGACTTAATAACGTTTCCATGAACAGTGATTACCCTCTTTCGTTGGATTATGTCGTTTTTCAAGTTGTGTATTTCTGCCCTCTTCAGCCAATGCTTATATAAATAAAAGTCCCACAAAGAGCCAATCAAATAAGCGCCTCTATTGTACACCGAGATCATCGATTCTTTAACGTAATAATCACAAACTTCTTTGATCAGGCTTGACCAATGTTTCGTTTCATCAAGCTGCAAAGCCGTTAACTTCATATGCGTAACTACTTTATACAAGTGTTTGCATTTTACGGCGATATCGCGGTAGCTTGGAACTGTAAAATAAAAACATATGGTTTCTTAATTTTAACATTTTAGTTTATCTTTATATCCATTTTTTTGTTTTTATTTTTGCTGACGTTTCAGACTCATTCCACAGTCTATTATCTTTAAAGCAATAGTCATAGTCGCACTATAGTCGTGAAAGTGGCCAACGGTAACTGTCGCTCTGAAAATTCAAAGCTAAACAAAATTATACACATATAATATCTATAAAATGTTATGCAAGTATACGAGTTCACTTAACTGTACGTACATGATATTTTTTCTATTTAGCAATTATTAATTAATTTTTTTTTTTTACAATTTTAGTAAATTTATGAAATTAAAACATGTTTTCTAATAAGAGTCCGGAGGAAATAATATAAAACGTTTTTCTTTCAAACTCTAAAGGACAAACATAACAACTTGATGAAAAATCACCTGCAGGTGTTGGCGATGATGAAGATGGAGCCGGTGCTGTTGGTGGCGGTGATGAACCAATAGGTATATCCGTAACTGTAAAGTAGAATCTTTGTAACGGGTTTGGTCTGGAAAAACTTAACTATGTTTTATGTTTTATTCAGAAACTGGACAAGTGTTAGGCAATAAACATAAAAATAAAAGAGCAGTATAGTCAATTTTTTACAAAATCTTAATTTATAGGTTAAACTGTGATGTGCAATTATTAGTTTAATAACTAGGACTCTATTTTGGGAGTTAATTTATTTTTTGGACTATCACAGCATCCTTGAAAGCGATTTAAAAATAGGAACCACAATGCCCCTGGAAGAGATGGAAACAGAAGTATTATTAATGGGTAAGGATTTTAAATATTTTTTAGCACGTAAAGTTAATATACATCAATACTTGACAAAACTATTGTTGCTAAAGTTTTTTGAATACTATTGTGTATTTATTATGTAGTATGTACTCAGTATACATTGTACAACTAAATTTTGTCTTTTATTGGAAACTCGAAACACAAAATATAAACAGTTTATTCATAATAGTTTTTTGTGGAACCTGTTTCTGCCCTCAGAATTTCATTATCATTACAATTTCTATTTCCATACGCCTCCTATCTAAATCGCTTTTATTGAAACAAAAATACACATGTTTTTTTAAAATGTTGTCACTGATATTTATTATATAGATTTTTTAATCTAATAAGTTGAACAAAAAATTGTTTGTGTTAAAAAAAAAATTAAAATTCATATATTATACATATGTTTTGTGACCAGTTCTGAATTTATCAAAGAAATATAATCAAAAACCTTATTTGAAATACAATATAGAAAATTATTTAGGTTTTTCAAACACAACAACCTCTTTAAGTTATAACTAATGCAAATAACTTACTTTCCTGAGATGAGTTATCATCATATCTATCATTACCAGGAGTCGCCTCTGAAACACAAATGTTTTATGTATAATTTAAATTTTTATCAATTTTATGTAAGTAAAAATATAATGCTGTTATTTATTATTGTCGCAGAAATTGTAAAGGTAAAAAAACAATATTTTTAAAAAATGTAGGAATAAAATTAGGCAATTTACATGGTACAACATAAATTTGGAACAATAACCAAAATACCTAACAAATATCTATTTTTTCAGAGCTTTTTCAGCACGTAGAGTAAATATTAATGTTAAAAATATTGTTGTTAACGTTTTTGTATACTATTCTATATAATAATATGCACCCACTGAACTATTATACATGGAAAGCGCATAGTAAAAATAAATTGGTCACACACGAATTCCGCCATTTTGAGTCATGTCATGGATAAAACGGTGTAACATACCATTTATTCCATGATAAAAATCTGATAACATCATATTTTCTTTTATCACGGGTTAAAAAAAATGATATCAACAATATGAAGTCAGAAACCATAATCGAAAATCACTAAATAAAGTTAGACACGGTAAGTAAAATAAGAAAACAGATTCAAAATGGCGGCCTCCGAGGCGGGTCACTTTTATTATAATATGGAAAATATGCATTATGCGCCTTCCTTGTATACAGTTCAGTTTATGTACCTATGTAGTGTGTACTCTCAGTATACATTGTACAAATTTATTCAGAGGAATAATTAAAACTGTTTTTATACAAATATTCAGCTACTGATCAAATATAATTATATTAATAACAATAAATAATATGGACATTTTTATCTGAACCACAAAATATATCCGATATACTCGTATATTTTTTATTGTTGTTCCATATAAAATGTACAATTTCGTTGTGCAGTGTTTTAAATTAGTTAATATTAATAAGTTTTAAATTAGATTATTATACCTGAAGTCTTCGTCATGATCGATATGAGAAAAAATAAAATGCTTAAATCACGCATTGTTAGAACAATAATATTCAATGTAAACATGACTTAACTAAGTACTGCACTTCTAAGTGATTTCTTGTAAACTGTAGTACAGTATTTTCAGCAGAAGAACAAAGTATTAGTAATATTTTTGCCAGTTGTTTTGTAAATTGCAAAATAACATGTTTTGTTTTTTTTTACTTACTTGCATTCGTGTTTACAATGTAGAGTAAATATACAAATCGTTTTTACTGGTTGTATGTTTTTTCGCAGAAGTAAACGAGTATAAACCAAAAAATAAGTTTCTTAATATACACATTATATTTTCATGAGCAAATTCTGATTATTCTTTGTGATGAAAATAATAATTTATATTTGCTATTTAAAATATTAAATTTTTAAGGGCGTCGGAGGGCGTTTATGAAGGTGATAATATATGAGCATTTTGAGACGTTGAGATCTGTCAATTGTCCAACATTTACAATTGCTTAAATACCAAAATAAATGGCCCCAGAATAAAAAAAATAATCAAAATTGTTTTATTTTATCATTGAATGTATTTAAGTCGATTTTAATGGTGTTGTTTTTGTTTTGGATCTATTTCTTATTTAGTACATTGGTGTATGACTAACGGGTTACTGAACAAGAATACCAAACATTATAATAAAATATGTTTTCTTCTTATATCAACAAATAACACCTACATAAAACCTGTTTTCAACACGTTTCTGTGTAGGAAAAAAATGTGTACAATTATTTAGAAAAATAATTACGATGATAAAAACCATGTAATATTTTCAAATTAAGGTTTTAAATGAATAAAATAATAAAAGCAGAACTTAAGTTACTGGCCTAGGCGCAAATACGGGGAGCTAGGGTGGGCTTAGCCCCCCAAATGCTAGACATAGCCCCATCAAAAAAATTAGGTTATGAATACAATTTTAAAATACAAAAATAAATTTACTTATATATATATAATTTAAAACAAATTCCAGCCCCCCCCCCAAGTTTTTTTTTCTTGCAAAACAAAACAGTATTTATATATGTACATATGTAAATAAACGATGACGGCTAATGAGGGCAAGTCATGTGAAACAGTTCCCCCTCATTGGTTCTGTATTTAAAAAAAAAAAAAAGCCCCCCCAAGTTAAAAATTGAAATTGCGCCTATGGTTACTGGCTTGTAAAAGTTAAAAAACACATGAACTTTGTAATTTACTTGTTACTTAAGTAGTTAAAAATTTCTTTGAAACATCAGTTGCCATATGCATCGTAACCTTAGGGGGGCATGCGACAAGATCAATCTGTCATATTTTGTTTAGCTTATGAATTTATTTTTTAAAATCAAATAGTTACCTACACTCGTTTTTATTTAGTTACAACAAATAGCTATAAGATGTTGCTGTATAAATAGCTGTATGGAGGTAGATGCGGCGATTTATTATCAGTCACGATTGCAATCAGTAATATTGTGATAAGTGATAACAGATAATTTAATAGTGGCTTGTGCTCGCAGCCCGGCAAACTACTGTTATTTTTTTAAATATTTATACTTTTTGTACTTAGATTTGTATTATTAATGGAAAACACACCAGTGATTGAAAGTGTATGCTTAGTGACTATAGACCATTATGTGTGTAGCCCAGTCGATGGTCTCGATTCTTTATATTCCGAATTTTGGGCAACACAAGTGACTAAAGTACCAGTCCTTCGAGTTTTCGGATCTACGATAAAAGGTATTTGATAAAATGCATGTGTTATTAAGTTTAAAATTGCAAAATAATGTTAACACTATAAAGGTTTTTAACTCGTCGTTTTTAAATATAACATAGTCCAAGCCCTATAAGGTGGCGGTATTATTTATTGGTGATAAATATGTAGGTACCTCATCTATGTAGTTTACATAAAACCAGATAAGCTATGTAAATTTATAATAAGAATGGTCAAAATACATGACAAGACTAATATTGTTATATTAAATTAAAACTTTTTTTTGTGTTTCTATATAAAATATGAATCAAAACTTGTGTGGTTTTTTATACATCTTAACAAATATTTTGTTTTGTTTTTTATTTATAGGAGAAAAATGCTGTCTACATATTCACGGTGTTTTTCCATATATATTTGTGGAATTGGACGAATCGCTCGAAGCTAATGACAAGTCTATTTTGTACAATTTTGCAAATAGTCTTGATAAAGCGCTATGCCTTGCTATTGGAACTACTAATTCAAAATCAAGGCACATTCATAATATTTTAATAGTTTCTGGGAAGTAAGTTTTGCCATTTATTCACATTTCAATTATGTTGTAAATGCAGTGCTTCAGTTGGAAAAATAAAATTAGAAGGATGTTTTTACTTAAAAAAAAAAGAACATTCTCGGCATATTTTTATTACTTAGAAAAACTACGCGCCACTTATAAAATTAGTAGAGGTTCGCGACAATTTATGAAACTATTGATAGTGTATACAGTTCTCCCGCATCCTCCTCCCCCAATTCGAGCACTGTGTAAATGTGATATTCTATGCAATTTAAGCTTTTATAGATAAAACAAATTGTGTATGTGTACTTTGGTTAAACACACTATTATTGTATCGAACGCTTCAATAACTTTATTTGAAAATTATTGTTATATTTACAGGTCCTTCTATGGATATCACAGTGAAAACAGTCAATATTTAAAGATCCTATTTTATAATCCGTATTCAGCTAAGGTTGCTGTTGATTTATTACAAGTAATCAAATTATATTAAAATAATATCTTAGTACACTTAATTAAAAGTTAATAATTAAAGTTTGTTTAAATATAAGTATTAAAGAAAGGAATATATATATATATTTTTTATTTATATTTATAGAATGGAGCAGTTTGTAACACCATATTTCAACCTCACGAAGCACACATTCCCTTTCACTTGCAGTTTATGATTGATTTTAATATTCACGGAATGAATTATATCCGACTATCTAATATTAGTTATCGAGCTAACGACGATCAATGGTATAGTAATAATATGTATATAATTTATTTATACAAAATCTTATATTCTTTCCTCTCCTTTAAATCTGCCACCAATGTATATTTATTAATGTGTAATTGTGTTAAACAGTTTGTTTCCAAAATTTCACGGTCGTATAGTAATATTATTATTCATTCTTTATTTGCAGTATTCCAAAAACGAGTCGATGTATCAAAGAAATGGACACGCACGCAAATTATATTTTAAATCCTGGCCTAATTGACGGTAATAATAATATTTGTATTATTTTTTTTATGAAATATAATAGTTATAATGTTTGATTAAAATGTCCATGGAAAGAATATTAATATTTGGATAGTATTTAAATAAATATGAACAAGTAAATAACTGTAGTGTGCATCACAAAAATATCTGCCACTTTTAATTTCTATGCTTTTTTACCGGCACATTTTTGCAGTGCAAATGTGGATGTTAAATACATGGTAAAACAACAAAACCAATTACTTATTTAATGAACTATATGAATCATATGTTTTTCATATTTTAGGCGAATTAGAAAATCCTGGATTGGCCACTATCCGAGAACAAATTAATAAGTTAACTTCTGACTTGAATGTAACAAGAAAAGGAATTGAAGTTTTCAGTGGAGAAAGAAAATCTACGTCATTGTCAAATTTAGAAATAAAATTTATTAAAGATATAAAAAATAAATTAAAGAAAATAAAGGTAAAACGCATAAATTGTTTTTCAAGATAATTTATTAGCAAACTATTATTAATTCATGTAACTAGTTATATGTTAGTAATAATTTTAATGTAATTGTACTTTTGCCTAGAAGCAAAAAAAAGTCAATAAATCACCGTCGGAATTAGAAGCTAGTGTCAACGAAGGTGTAATATTAAATTTATCGCAAACCTTCCAATCCCAAGCGCCATTTTGTATGTAAAGAAGTTCTTATATTGTGTAAAATTTTGATGTGAATACTTATTTAAACAAAATATTTTTTTTAGGGGACAGTCAAAGTATAGATTTAATGAATTTGCTAATGAACGAAGAAATAAAAAGTCATAATGATAATCACGAATTAACTTGTGATACAGAAAGTGAGAAAGAAGAAAATTCCGATGATGACATGAACTATAATGATATGTCATTGTCTTTAGTAGATTTACACGAAAGGTACATATTTTTTCTTTATTAAACAATATTTTTAATGCAAATCAGTAGCTATTATTGTACAGTATTTAATTTTCTAAACTTGGGAATTTTTTATTTAATTATCAAATAATTATTTGTAGTGCATTTTTATTTTCAAATAATAATGTATTTTTAAATAATATATTATTTCAATAATATTTTATTTAAATACCTACATTTTAGTTTAAATATTCCAAATATGAAATAACTTATTACTATTTTAAGTACATATTTATTTGCATATATTATTTAAGTAATGCCCAAAATTATTTTTTACTACATACATAATTTTACTATACAACATTATTACATCAAATAGCAAACTTACACGTTTCACTTAATTTATTTTAGTTTTATTTATTTGTTGCGTTTTAGATATTCCCAAAATACAGACCACGTTAATACTGATTCAAATCAGTGTGAAGAAAATGTTTCCAAAACTATTACGGATGAAGTTAATTTTAGTCAGCAATCGAATGTCTCAGATAGGTTAGTATATATTGTTCTTCAAAACGTATTTGTCATTGTATTTTTTGTTTTCGTTTTTCAAGAACTTTTATAGTGAATAACAGAGATCAAACAAAGTACGAACAATATATGGAGACACCTAGTCAAACACCAAATAATGACAATAGCAGTTTTAATTTAAATTCAAAACTGAATATTGTATGTGATGAGAAATTTACTACATTCAGTACAATTTGGACTTCAATAACAAAACCTCCGAGTTATGAGGATGCTTTGAACAACATGGACAAATTTCAACATACACGTGGCTACTATCAAAACAATATTATCAACAATGATAGTAGTGCTATTGAATGTATTAGAAAGAATTTATTGTCCATAAGTTTTACCGGGTTTAATGATTTTAATTTTTTTGCATCCGAATCCAATGTAATATTAGAACCGTTAAAACAAGCGCCAACACATTCGATGGCTATGAAATGGCTAGAAAAACGTCATTCGAAAAACAAATATAAAAAAAAATTCCATCAAAAAGATATATTTAGTCCTCAGTCGATTCCAAAATCTGTTATGTTGAACAAAATCAATCACAGTACTCCCGTAACGAGCCAAGGCCAAATAAGTAAAACCACTTCGCCGTGCACTCCTACGTGCAGCCAAAACAAACGTTTGCGATCCAAACGTAAACTCAGCACTCTTTTTTTGGATTCGTTAAAAGTTTGTAAAATAAAAATTTGTATGATGAAATCTTAAAGAAAAAATGATTAATCTTAATCTTTTTCAGGCAGATAACAGTAACGATTCGCGGTCTGAATTCTTTAACTCGTTCAGAACATACAATAGTTCAGATAGTAATATTCTCGATGGCATGCAGTTATGTGGAAGTGTTCACAACTTCTGTATTGATACCGAAAATGTAAGAGGTTGTTGATGATAATATAAATTTGTAATTATTTTACAAAATATTGTTGTTAAAAAATTTCTATTAGACTGATCATCTTACAATTTTCACCATGGAACTTCATACTCAAACCAGAAGTTCCTTTAATCCAGATCCAGAATACGATAGCATAGAAGCAATATTTTATCGCGTATTCAGCGCGTCACAAGAAAATCCGTCGACAACAGGTAACTGTGGTAATATGTAAAAGTAAAAGTTGTACAGTGAGATTAACTGTTAGGGCATAGTGAGGATAGAGCATATTTTTATTCGGAGAGATTACAAGTCTTTATGAGTTATTAATAAACCGTAATATTAATAATAGTTGGTTTTTGTTTAGGTTTTATTTTAGTAGACGATAAAAACCATTCGAACGACTTGTCACATTTTAAGTCACAAATAATTGTATGTCACAACGAAGAAGAGATGTTGGATAGGTTTATCCAAATTGTAATCGACTGGGATCCAGAAATTTTGTGTGGCTATGAGGTAAAAATTTGAATGATTTCATTTTACTATTTTTAATTCTTACATTAAATAACAATAGTCATAAGTACTTTGACGTCACTGAATAATTTGTGTTACTAAATTTCAGATAGAAATGCAGTCGTGGGGTTATTTGAAACAAAGATGCAATCACTTGGGACGTAATTTAAATAACAAATTATCAAGAATAATATTGGAGTATGAAACAAACCACGATCCCAATAACGAAGACTCAATGAATATAGATTTAAAATTAAAAGGAAGAATCGTGCTCAATATTTGGAGATTGCTTAGACACGAAGTAAATAAATGATTGGTAAATCGTTTTTTTTTTTTTAATTCACAATTTTTCGGAATTATTTAAACTTTTAGTTGGCTGTTCAAAGTTATACTTTTGAAAATATGGTTTTTCTAATACTAAACCAGAGGGTGCCCAATTATTCTTACCAGACCCTATCGTATTGGTGGAATCACAATAGTTCGTTATACAGGTAATGGTTAAGAGTCTTAATTATTGTAAGTTACAAAATAAAATTAAATAATAACATTCAACATATTTAGATGGTTGACCGTTGATCATTATCTATTTAAAGTCGAAAGTACAATTAACATTCTACAACAACTTGATTTGATCGGTCGAACGAGTGAACTTGCAAAACTTTTCGGAATACAATTTTACGAAGTATTATCGAGAGGTTCACAAGTATGAAAGTACAGTGTTTTTTTTTAATTTCAAATAAATGGATAAATGAATTGATAAATAATTTTTATTTTATTTTAGTTTCGAGTAGAGTCAATGATGTTACGCCTTGCGAAAAAGAAAAACTTTGTTGCTGTTTCCCCGAGTATTAAGCAAAGAGCTGAAATGAATGCGCCACAAAGCTTGCCTTTAATAATGGAGCCTCAGTCCAAGTATATGGTTATTTTTGTGTGCTTAAAATATTAAAAACTGCTATGTAAAATAATTTTTTATTTTATCTGAAAAGATTCTACACGGATCCAGTTGTGGTACTAGATTTTCAAAGCTTATATCCATCAATCATAATAGCTTATAACTATTGTTTTTCAACGTGTTTAGGGAGTATTGATTTTCTTGGAAAGTGAGTATTAATCAAAACGTTATTTATATTATGTTGTTGTAAACACAAAGACTGAAGTAAATGAAACGCAACAAACTAACAATTCTTACCCTGCCTGTAGATCTGAAGTCTTTAAATTCGGTTGTACAACGTTAAAAGTGGCATTTCAAACCTTGCTGAACGTAATCAATGATATAACAATTTCTCCATGCGGAGTAGCGTTTGTTAAGAAAAATATTTGCAAAGGGATATTGCCAACAATGTTACAAGAAATTCTCGATACAAGAATAATGGTAGTGATATTTAGAAATTTTATTCAACTGTTCATTCATTTAGTTTTTTTGTTTACCTCATAAATATTTTTAGGTGAAAAACTTAATGAAAGAACAAAAAAACAACAAACACCTTTGGAAGATTTTAAACGCCCAACAACTCGGTCTTAAGTTAATAGCTAACGTAACGTACGGTTACACTGCAGCCAACTTTTCGGGCAGAATGCCTAGCATTGAAGTACTATTTATGATCATATTTGAGGTACGTAAATATTGCTATGTTGCTAACCATTTGTTTTGTTTTATAGGTCGGCGACAGTGTTGTTAGTAAAGGTCGTGAAACTCTCGAGAGAGCAATCACTCTAATTCAATCATCAGACCGATGGAACGCTCAAGTTATCTACGGTGATACAGATTCTATTTTTGTGTTGCTCAAAGGTCGCTCTAAGGAAGAGGCATTTAAAATTGGAAATGAAATGGCTGATGTTGTTACCAAAGATAATCCCGTACCAGTAAAGTTAAAATTTGAAAAAGTTTATTGGCCGTGTATTTTGCAAGTAAATGACTAAAAAACTACTATTGTGAGAAAAAAAAAACATTAATATTTCTATTATTTAAATTAGACAAAAAAAAGATATTGTGGTTACATGTATGAAAATATTGATCAAAAGCGTCCAAAATATGAAGCTAAAGGTATCGAAACCGTTCGACGTGACGGTTGTCCAGCCGTTTCAAAGGTAAACTGTAGTTACCTAATAAAAAAAAAAGCAAGCATACTGAGATAGTGGGTGTCACAGGGCTTTAGAAATTATTATAAAAATAAAATATGCTTAAATGTGATGCAATAGGTAAAAATTATTAAATATAATATATAGATAAAAAAAAATGTAAGGCTTTTGAACTTTTTATATATTTAATAGTTACTTTCTAGGCATGCAGGTACGTATAATTTTCATTCTAAATCCTAGAACTATCCTTAAAAAAGCAAAATAAAAAAAGAGTTTTAACCTTTAGTGGGTTAACGTATGTAACTCGAGTCGTGAATAATTTTACTGATAATGTTGACTGATCTATTTGAAAATTTTAATATTGTAAAATAACCAACAAAAATATTTATTTTAAAAAAACTTGGAAAGTTACAATTATTTCCAAAAAATAACTTGAGCTTACATATTTTAATTGATCAACCCTACATGGGTACCTAACATAAATCATAAATTAACTTAGTGGTTTCGTTACTAATGTGTTACTAATGTTTAATACTAAGATTTTAGAAAAAAGCCTTTGCACTTTATTCGAGACGAAAAATATTGCCGCAGTAAGGTGTTACGTGGACAAACAGTTTAAAAAAATATTCAAAGGAAATGTAAATATCCAAGATTTCCTCTTTGCCAGGGAATACCGAGGCAGAAGAGGATACAAACCAGGAGCTTGTGTGCCCGCTCTAGAACTAGCCAAGTATATAGCAAACTGAAAATAAATTTATCTTGTGTATCAATAATTTGTGGTTATCATTTCTCAGGCAATTGTCGGCAACCGATAGGAGAGCTGAACCTAGAGATAAAGAACGAGTTCCGTATGTTATCGTGGCCGGACCAAAAGGTCTGCCGTTGATAAAACTTGTGCAATCGCCGAGAAATTTTCTTACAGATAAATCTGCCAGAATAAATGCAGAGTATTATATATCGAGAGCAATAATACCGCCGCTCCAGAGGTGTTTTTCGCTGTTGAATGTGGATATAAATCAGTGGTAAGTAAAACCCGAGGGTCCGTATAAAGTTCCGGCAATTATATTATATGCTACACATTTAATTGTAACTAAAAAAAAAAACCAAGTAGTAAAATGTGAACTTTGTCTGGAACTTTATGTAGTCCCCTGTGAATGGATCGCCTAAATATTAGAAAAGGCCATTCTCAGCATTTTTGCCATAATATCAGTATCGTTAAACTATGCATTAGTGAGAACGGCCATGATATATATTAAAATTATATCTTACTAATTAATATTATTATTATTTGTGTGTAGGTACTCGGAGCTGCCACGTGTTTATCATTATCATTTTCCCGATACAACGTTGGAAAATAAACGAAAACACACATTGTCTCAATATTTTTTCTCTATTAATTGTATTCTGTGTAATAAATTGTCCCAGAATGGATTTTGCGATGAATGCAAACAGAATCCTCAATATTTAGTCTTACAACTGAATAATCTTCTTATGAAGTGGTCAAAAAAGCAAACTGATTTGGAAACGGTAAGTATATTAAATATAAAACAAAATATATATATATATATTAAAACAATTTGGTTTCTCTCTCCCAAGATTTGTCGTTCGTGCTGTGGTAGAAATGTTGAGTTGAAGTGCAACTCTTTGGACTGCCAAAATTACTATAGCACCCAGCAAGCTTCGAAAGATATGCAACAATACTCGTACATTAATAACATTAAGGATAATTTAAATTTATAAGTAAGCGTGATATTTTATTTATGAAATTTTAGTGAAATTGTATTTTTTTGTGAATTTTTGTATTAAAAGTCAAAACCAATAAAAATCGAATTTTGTTAATATTTAACAAACCGTGTAATATATTTTTATGGAGAAATAGTACCTATTTTTGAAAATTTAAAATTGTTGTAAATTATATCACTCGAAGCGCAGCTCTTTTATAAGCCTTCATTTTTACTTTGACTTTCATGGAGTACAATCAGAACTAATTGACAGCAGACAAGTTAAACATATAGCAATTATGTTGAATATGGAATGGGGTAGATGTTTCAGTTTTAACCACTGTGTCAATAGAAAATAGTAGCTCTTTTAATTTGTTAAAACTGAAATTGTTTCAGAAAACGGGGTTAAAATAGTGAAGGGTATATATTTTTATTCTTCAGATGAATGATATTATGAAATATTTCAAAATTGTGATGACACTTTATTATCAGCTAATGCCTTTTTACAACCGTTTTAAAGCAAATATTCTTAGTCATTTTTTTAAATAGGTATCTTATTTATACAGCATATTTTTAATATGTATTTATTTTAATTTTTTAGTTTTAAAACTGACCACAAAAAAAGGTCGGACTTGCTGCTGTCTTCATTGCCCGTGTAATATTTTTATAAAGAAAAAGTAGTAATATTTTTGTTGCTCTACTACATTGTTATTACTTATAATAATGTTTATAAAGGGTCTTTATTGGCGCCAATCTTTAACAATCCAACTATGAAAATGGAAAAATTATTTTGATGTTAAAAAATTCATTTCTCACAACAACAAAAAAAAGACTTGTTGTATGTTTGTTAATTAGTGAACAAAATTCGCCTACTTTGTCAGAATTACACGTTTGTATTTTTGTATCATAAATAAATAAAATCCACAAGTTCCGGTACAATACAATATGCGCCAAAGTGCAAGTTGATTTCGTTATATTTTTTTGCTTATCATATTTTATAATAATTCCAATTTGTCATTCGTCATTGCAATTAGGTGGGTAGGTTGACAAAATCAACGACAGCTTATTGTCCGTGTCTGACAAATATTATGCCAAATTGTATAAATATATATATATATATATATATACAATAAACTAGCAAAAATACAACTCTGTTATATTCCGGCCAAAGCATTCTCTTTCAGTGTTTTTGATTGAGTACAAGTCGATTCTCAAATTTGGTGAATAATAACAAACAACAATTGTTGCTAATATTTTTGTACAACAATTTTATAAAATATTTTTTTTTAAAACAACACAAATGTCTTGCCCGAGTGGCGTTTACGAGTCGCTGCGATGGATTTGGCTGATATCGCGAGTTTTCGGCGTGATGCCGTTGACGTTGGAACGGGGCGGCGGCGGCGGTGGTCCCGTGTGCAAGTTTTCCCTGCCGGCGTACGTGTATTCGGCCGTGTTGCTCGCGGTGTCCGTGGTGCACGGCGTATTGGCGCCCGTGTACGTGCTGCACTCGAACATGCCGGACACGTATGAATACTCGCCGTTTGCCGCGCAACTGCCCAGGCTGCCGGAATTCGAGCACTCCGGCAACGGATCGAGCGGCCACGACGACGACGACGGCGACGAAAATAGTCAGATGGCCACCGCCATGAAGATCCTGAACCCGATAATGATCGCCGTGTCGGCCGTGTGCAGCCGGTTCGCCGTGCTCGCGTTCCTTCATCGCGGCATCAGCTCGTTCATCACGGTGGTGCACAACACGGACCGGTTGATGGCCGCCAACGCGAACAATTACGGTCTGCTCGGCCGGGCCGTCGTCGCTGACAACGCGACCACTTCGCTGTTGCGCCTGTTCGACAAGAGCCTGTTATGATATTTCGCGTTGATCGGCATTCCCGTGAACGTCTACTACATTTACACGGTGTCGTTCATCAGCAGCCCCGCCGGCCTCTTGTGGTGCCTGGTGTTGGTGGCCAACAACCTGTCCGGCTTCTGCTGCGACTTGCAGTTTATCCGGTGCGCTTGCATGCTCGACAACAGGTTCTGCACCATCAACGAACAACTCGGAACCATCGCTTCTAATTGGAACTTCAAGCGCGAGTAATTACCGTACTTGACTAGCTATCACTATTTATAATTACTAAGTAATTAGACATTTATATAGGTCTTTCATACTTGAATATGATTTTTTAAAAATTGAATTAGATCAAAACGTAGGTACTATTTTTTAACCGAAACTGCATTTTTCTTTGATCATTGGAAATGATATATTTTCAACAAAGGTGTTAACTGACAATGCATTTTACTGCATAAATACACATGTCATAGTGTAATAAAAACATTATATTAGTCGGAAAAGGTTTTGATTGTTGGTTACATAATGTAGTTATTTATATATTGAGTATGAAAAAAAAATAGCGTTCCTGAACAATGTCAGGTTACCACCTTCCATTCATTGACCCCTATGTAAATGACAATTTAATAAAATGTTCTATACATTTTATATACTTGACTCGAAAAATATTTAAGCAAAATTTTGTTTCTCAAAGTAAAAACTTTCTCAATACGATTAGGGCTTTGGTGGAAAAGAAAACGTGTCGGGCTTTTTTGTCTGAACTGTCGTACGGACACAAATTGTGCGATTCCATTGAAATTTACAGGTAGGTAAAAATTTAGATTTCATAAATTTTTGGTATGACATTTTAACGCGTTTATTATTTCACATAATAGATATTGTTACGGTCAGTTTTGCGACATGGTGAGTCTGTTGAACTCGACTTACCAGCTGCATCTTCTGGGCTCGATTTCAGCTTGTTTCCTGAAAATACTGTTCAACATATATTTCGCCATGTTCGGATACGTCGTCGGCACAAACGGCCCAAAGGAACAGGACGAACTAGTGCGGGCCATCTGTTGGATGATCTATTACAGTTTGAGGTTTCTCACCATTATATGGGTGGCCAACATTACCGCTAAGCAAGTGAGTATAGCAGTATGTAGGTAGCTGTTATAGCTGTTGACAGTTAACACTTAACGTGATTGAAACTTATCAAAAAATTTCTTATTTCTTAAAAATATTGCCTATGCAAAACTCCTCAAAAAACAGGCCGCAGCATGCAAATCTCCTCAATTAACAAGGTTGGGTTTTACTACATTTTAACAATTATTGTTAATACCGCATGATTTCAGGCACTCAAGGCCAAATCATTAGTGACCGATATAAACAATCGATATTTGGATAGCAGCACCAAGGAAGAGGTTCAGAATTCTATAGCTAAATAATGTTGAAATAATTACCTTCCCACAGTGGCGGATCCAGGGGTTGTCCAAGGGGGGGGGGCGAATTTTCGTTTTTTGTAGGTATAATAAAATTACCTTTTCTGATTTTTACTTTTTATTAATTTTCTACAAAATATGTTACAATGTATTAATTACTTTGATTAGTTATTTTTTAATTAATCATTATTAATTTTGACCCAATACACTTTCATAGAAAATAGCTACAACAAGTTTGTTTAAATGTCAAATACATAAATAAGTAAAGTACAATACTCAGATATTTATAATATAAAATCAATGCCTTTTTTTTCTTTAGCAAATCTTTCAATAATATCATCTACATATTTTAAGGGGATTCGATACTGGCCCTTTTTTTTTTTGTCAAAACACATCATTTTTTTGTCCATTGCACCAGGCCGAACCAGTGATCCGATAAGTAATTTGAAAACAGTTTGAATACGCCATGAAGTTTACTTAGGATCAGTTAGGGTACTTTTTAATTTTAACCCATCACCCCCCCCCCCTCTCAAATCCGCCACTGCCTTCCCGCCTTAAATTAGGTAACAGTATATGTTTGTTTTCTCTTTCAGTTACAATTGTTTTTAGACCAAATATGCAATCGTAGCATAGAGTTTACAGCTTGTGACTTTTTCACATTAAACACACATCTGATCACATCGGTAAGTGTGTACCTACGAAAAAATAATAATAATATCTTGTTTCTTTATTTGAAATGTCCACGATTTTATCATTTAAGGCCATAGCTGCCGGAGCGACCTATCTTGTTATATTAGTACAATTTCATTCGGGTAAAGATTGAAGAAGAATCTTCAAAACCAATAATTTATGCTTCGAAATCCGACTAATTATTCAATTTTTCAATGCACGTTTATTTGAATTTTGTATAGACTTTTAAAAAATTGTGAGTTTACATTTATTATAAATAAGTAATTATGAAAAATGTTTTAAATTTATTTTACATCAAATCACAAATTACTATGTGGCTCATACATACCATATTTTATCAATCAATATTGTCTTAGATATTGAGGAATAAAATTTAATATAAAAATGATTACATTAAAAAATTACTAAACTACTCACTCGAGTATAGTGCTTTCTTACTGTGCTGGTTTATGATAACAAAAAATAAATATTTGTTAGGATGTACCATACAAATTGTTTGCGGTCCATCGTAAAACAACTTTTTCTAAAAAAATACTCAATTTTCTAAGCAGCCGTATTGTGCAAGTAAAATGGAAAATGTATAACATTTGACATACTTCCATACATCATAGATAAAAATGTATTCTCAAAACAACAAAAATTTTAAATGATTTAAAATAAATAAGTATTGTAGTGTTGAAATCTAAACAGCACTCATTTATGGACTTGTACATATAACTTTTTTTTTTTATTGATACAACACAAAAGGTAGCGACAATAAAATAAAGAAATAAAATGCCAAATTTTTTTGTAAGAAAATCTTTTATTTGATTTTTTTTATTTATAAACTTTCTTTCGTTTTATCACAAAAAAAAAAAAAAAAATGTCAAAAGATACTTTAAAAATAATCAACTTAAAAAAAAAATCAGTAAGTTCTTATACAATTAATTTTGTAATTTTTCATGTTCAACTATACAAAACAAATATAAAATGTTACTTAAAAATGAATCATGAAATGTTACATTTCATTTTTAATAAATTATGATTTTTAAAGACTTTTTTAGAGCTTTTTAATATGTTTACTGATATGACTTGAATCAATATGGACAACACTGTAAAGGCACCTTCGTGACTTTTTATAGTAGTAACACTACACAGCAGTTCATACAAAGTGGGTTTTAGGTCAAGTTTAAAAAACACGACCCAAATAAGTGATGCCATTGTCTCGACTGGTCCCTTGAGCGAGTTCCATGAAACCCATTTTGGTGTAGACTTCTATTGTTTGCCGCTCTTTTGATCTGACCGGCAGATGCACGCCAAATGAACCTAAACAAATAGTTAAGCAAATGTGTTACGATCGGTAAAACAACACTTATTACGTTTATTTATATTTCTGGATATAAGTTATTGTCCAGATAACTGTTAGTTAAGATCAACTGTACCATTCGCTCTCAAAGCCGCCAGAAGACATATAATAAGTCTTTTCGAAACCGACGAATCGTTATTGACGGGCAGAATAGAATAAGTCATCACAGACTTGTGCTGTGACAGAGCTGAAGATTCTGGCAACTCATCGTTGGCATCGAACATGTGAAACCAGTTGATAATCTCCTAAAAACAAATTGTAATCATTTATAGCCGTGTGTAATTTAATAACCATTTATAACCGTGTGTGTTTTAATTTAATATATATATATTTTTAACGTACATCGAAAGCCGATATTATATCGTTGTTTGAACTTCTAGTCGACATGGGATACTTAGAACACATTTCTGGTAGCCAAGACACTTGAAGTTTTTGATAGAATTCTTTTGCGTCTAATGCGGCTAACGCGTACCCGATAACCGTGCCGTTGTCCTCGATGACGAAACAAAACTCGGGACTGAACGTCAAAAAGGCTCCGACGATTCTAAAAAATATGAATGAAGTATTTTGGTTACGTAACACACAACACACTGGCGTAATGAGAAATACAGATGATTACAATAATACCTGTCTGGAATCAAATCCGGGTGGTCGGACTTCTTAATGCTGTTGTCTTCGTTGACCGTGTAACAGGTACACCGGCATATGTTGTAAACAGCAGACTCGTCGTCAAACGTATAAGGTCGCACGTTGTACATTTTGTTAGTCGGGATGTCTGGCGGTTTGTATATAAATAAATCGGATCCAGCGTCGACGGGCATTAATCTCTAAAAAAAAATGTGATTTTTACTTAGAAAAAACAATAATCCATCGGTTTTATTTGTTTTTAAATAATTGCTCACTTGTAAATCGGCCACTAAACCACCTCTAAACACCCACGGTTCTTGATCGCCGCTCATGAAACTTTCTTTCCATCCTTTGGAAAACCCTAATAAATCATAACAAAACAAATTATAGATAATACTTTACACGAGTACGATAAATGTCGACGATACAATATTAGAAAGCTACGACACATAAACGAAAACGGTTCTCAAACAAAATATAATATTAATCATCTTACATGTCTAATGTCAGCCATTAAAAAAAAAAAATTAATTGCTAAATGAGTTTAAAAAAAAAAAAATTTTAAAAGCCCAATCTGGATCAATGTGTAGCATTATATTATAACAAAAGCAAGACAGAAGAAAAAAAATATATACAAAGGATGGATCGATTATAAAAATTTTAAGCAGCCGATATGTGTTCGGAAAAATAGTTTATAGGTGACCCGTTTAGTAAAAAAAATGCATAAGTCAACTTACAGTGAAAACACTAATATTGTTGTTTTATTTGACCAAGATTGAGTTCTATTAAAGATAAAAAAAATTACAAAAAGCAGACTCTGGTAGTTACTGTAATAGAATTACTTTTTTTTTTTTAATAACGTGTTACGTAATTTCAACTCTTGTACTAAGGTAATTGTATAAATAACCTATTATACTAATGACTTTTGTTTATGTTTATTAACTAAGTTCTGAAACACTAAATTTAAAAAAAAAAACATCAGCTTTGATTATTTAGAATTAAAAATCTATAAAAAGTAATGACAAAATAATTTTAGTTTAGAATGTTGCAATTTTACTCGAATTCATACATTTTTATTTAGCTCATCTTCTATAAACAATGTTTTTAATTTTAAATAATATTTTGTTAAAATAAATTTCCATTTGTTTGTTTCAAACAAATGTATAATCAATTTTATTATTCAAATAAAAACTTATTTGAATGTGTTTTTGTTTAAATAAATTTTAATTTTTAATAATTTGTTGTTTTCTGTTTAAATAATGCTCGTGTTTGCTATGAAAATATAACGTAACAAGTAAAGTAATTTCCATTCCATCACAAAAGCAACGTGTTCAAGACTTGGTCAATATGTATAAACCTATACAGGGTCTTTCAATTATGTTCCAACAATAAGAAACTATGTACACAAATTTTTAACAAATAAAAATATATATATATATAAATATATAAACTTCTACTTACACGTGTATGATCCGAGAGTATAATTGATAATTGACTGAGGGAAATGACCAAGAGCTATAAAAAATTATATTTTATAAATAAAAATATAATATTTGACTAGCGTAATCATATTATATATAATAATTTACTCACAAAGCCATTTGATGTAAGAATTTAACAGCGACACAACGCAACGTATGTCCCAAACGTAAGGATATAAGTCGTGGACCAGTTCTCGGTTAGCACTGTAAGCGAGTCTTTGAAACAGCTCGTTCACTTGTTCGGACAGTTCGTCCATTTTTCTCGATCTATTGAACCACTCGTCTACCTGAAAATTAAATAAATTCTCATTACGTTGACATCAGTGTTGAAATCAAACAAACTAAGTTCCACGAGTCTATTAACAAGTTTTTATTTTCAGATTACCAATTGCTGCGATGAATCTTTCGAGCTCAACCCGTGCTATGCTTCCGCCGAGTGTAAAACACACCACACACAAGCGCTTTAAATAATTATTCTTATCGTAGATTTTTCTTACCTCTGGTTTAGATTCGGTCGCATTGTCTTTTTTTGACTTTCTTATATTCTCTTTTGAAACTAAATAAGCGTTACTTTTGAGCCAATTAAATTCTTGTAAATACTGAACACTTTGAAATCCATGCTCAAACGGCAAATAAAACAAATCACACAACAGCAACAAATCTCCTTCGGTCAGATCCCTTTATATATATATATATGTATAATAAAATAAAATTGTTTTCAAAAATTGGTAGTATTAAAGAGGATTTGTTTTTAAAATGCGTAACTGATAATTACAAAAATTATTTACTTTTCATATGAATGTTTTTGATCTTGAACAACGTCGATAATCATGTCTACACTGGGGCTTGGCGTTTCTACTTGCATGGACACACTCTGAAACAATTTGAACGAATAAACCTAGTAAAAAAAAATAATAATATAATAACTAGAAATATATTACTACGTACAGATCCGTTGTCAGTGTTCATGGCAGTGTCCGAACTTTGTGGCGATGGGGCCGGCGACGACATATTACAGTCCATGGGTTCACTAATGACTTTGTTTTCAGAAACTAAAGAGTTCATAATTACAGTGGGTGGATTGATGGACACCGCAACTGCAGGTTGTAGTAAGGTGGTGGAGTTGCCGTTCACAGAAGGCGTTGATATCGTCTCGACATTATTGGTCGTACACATAGGCAGAGGAGTCGTGGACGTTGAAGTCGTTATGGTGGTCGTCGAGGTGGCCATGCACGTGTTGAACGAAGGCAACGGAATGGCAATGGGAGACATAATCGACAAAGTGGGCTGCGGCTTGCTTATAGGCCCGTGGGCTTGTTTTGGTTTTCGAAATTCTTCTTTCCATTCTTTAATGGCGACACGCAACGCTCTCCTTGCATGATAAATATTGTCCGGCAGATCGACAACACCTTCTTCGTCACTTTCAGTTTCCAATTTCATGCTCTCATCTAATCATTATAAAAGAAATCAATTAAAAATTACACATCACTAATAAATGTTTATATTTTTAAATCTTTTACACATTTCATTCAGCATTTTAGTGACATTTTCAACTTGTTTTGAAAATTGTGACTTGTTGAAATATAATTAGATATAATTTAGTAAGTCAGAAAATATTGACTATATAGAAAACACGTCTATAATAGTCAGAATACTAATAAAAATAAACAAGTGTCAGTTTTAATGATTACAAAATATATTACAATAGGATTGTAAAATTTAATTATGTATCATAAAAAGCATTAAAAAAAAATCATGTAATTAAAAACGAGACAGCTTATAATTTCATTTCAGTTCTTTGGTCGTGCGTAACGAACTTGCTCGTTTATCTTATATTCTGATTAAAATATTTATATTTTGTAATTTTGAACACTTACTGTCTTGTGTGTTTGACGGATCGGAATTGCATTTACTCCATTGGGCTAAAGTATTAATGGCTATAAAATTGGCACCGTATTCACAGTTTGGATTAGTCAGCACTCCTCTCAGTTGAGATATGAGGTCTGGAGATCGTCCTAGATAAGGTCCTAAAAATACCCGTTTTTGATCATAATCATTGGCATGCAAATTATCCCATATTACTGGGGGTCGTCTTAGTACTTCGGTGATCTCTCTTATCGACTCAGTAGTTAGCAAGCGCGATATTACTTTTTGTCCTAAAACATACGGATAATAACCCATGGTTACGGTGTAAATACTATTGTCTTGAAAATGCAATTTATAATTCAATTTACAGTAGCTAACCGGTCCACATAATGTCTATCTGAGGAGCCAACTTGGAGCCCAAGGTGTTTAGGTAGTCCGAGTTTTGAACGTTGGGCACAGCTCGAGCCGAACAATACTGCGTTGGGCATACCAAAAATTTGGGCTGACCAAGATGCTGAAATATCTCGTTTGTAATCGACACCTTAAATAAAACAAATATACTTATCACATTGACGCAACGATATTAATTACTATTTAGAACAACCCTTACAGACCGTAAACATTTTTTTATTATAATTATAAAATAAAAACCGAACCCTCACGACCGTGCCTCGCCGGTCTGTAACCGGTTACAACACATAAATATACAGGGTGTCCCGGAAAGTTCTACCGAGCTTCAAATGAGACATTTAGGATGCTCTATGGGTACAATAAATGGTATTCATTTTTTTTTTAATATTAAAATTATTTAAAATAGAACTCGTATCTCATTAAAAAATGGTCTTACGAAAAAAGTAATTTCAGATTTGAAATCAAGAGAAAAAATCTTGTTGAATTGATATGTAACATGATTTTTTGGTATCTGGCCACACATACGTCCACAGGGTGGCCGGCATGTGACTAAAACCAACATATGGCACGCGTCATATAATTTAATATAAAATAATACTAAGAACACCACTGACAATTGAGAATAAAATTCTAACCCAAAATGATGTGTCACATTTCATAAGTCGGTTTTAGTCACATGCCGGCCACCCTGTGGACGTATGTGTGGCCAGATACCAAAAAATCATGTTACATATCAATTCAACAAGATTTTTTCTCTTGATTTCAAATCTGAAATTACTTTTTTCGTAAGACCATTTTTTAATGAGATACGAGTTCTATTTTAAATAATTTTAATATTAAAAAAAAATGAATACCATTTATTGTACCCATAGAGCATCCTAAATGTCTCATTTGAAGCTCGGTAGAACTTTCCGTGACACCCTGTGTATATATAGTATTCAATATATCTACTGACCTGGGCATGAGCAAACGACTGAAACACTTCTTTGTCGGCTGGCGACATGTCCGGTTCTATGTCGTCGAATAATAACGCAAAGGCCTTGCAGCCGCATTGAGCCACTTGGTCTAGCTTTCGTTTGAGCGTGGACACTTCTTTCTGACTGCTGTAAGTCATGTCGAGACCAGGCGATAATGCATAATACAGGGTTACTCCACAGTCTCTGGCCGCGGCTATGAGACCGCCAAGTTGTTCCGCTTCTTCGACGGTGTACAAATCTCTCCAGTAAGCTCTGTGTTTGTAATCGTCCTTGGGCGCGTACACGTAACAACCTACTCCCCATTTTTTTAATCTAAAAAATAAACCCGGTTGTAAAAAATGATGCTAAAAAATTTTTTTTTTTAAAAATGTATTAACTAAAATAGTGGAAAAGAGCGTCTAATTTTTTTTCTTTTAATAAATATAAGCGTAAGAACACTGCACAGTATAATAAAGCATATTATATATTAAATAAATGAATACAACCCAAATTTGTTTATTTTTTTTTTTTTGTATCCGCACCAATTACTTTTTCCGATACTGTTATAATATATTTAATTTACAAGATGAAAACAACGAAAAATAATATAAATGAAACAACAAAAAAATATAAACTAAGCACAGCATGAGACTACTGTAAAAAAATGATGTGAACATTTTTTTAAAGTTTTTTTTTTTTGCAACACTTGTTAAATAAATTATTGATTTCACTAAATAAAACACTTTTAATGCAATTTAATTCACATAATTACGGCAAATATATGTAATAAAAAATGCTCAGATGTAGCGTTCGTAAATGCGAGGCATTAAGTATAATAATATATATATATATATATATATATATATATCTATATATATATATATATATATATATATCTATATATATATAAATAGTATTTAATCCACCGTTAGCGACCAACAAACAGCATAATAACGGGTAAACAACAATCACCACAGCATATAATAATATATATATATATATATATATAGTAATGAAACATTGCAGGGTTTCAGGCTGATTCGGTGCACATGGGTTTGACAGGGGTGAAACAGAGGCAAATGCGAGTGAGAGGTGACAGGTTAGAATATTGAATCCATTCACAAGTTTTGAGTAAGAGCAGCAGCTTAAGATTGATATACTGTACATTTTGTATACAAACTAGAACCAAAGTAATTTCATTATTAACTAACTTGGTTCCGAGTTGTGTTTTACCGTTTTACTTAACACAATGGCATGCTTAGCTATAATCAGACACAAAACAACTTCAACTGTTTAGATTCAAAAATATTATTTTAAAGACTGTATGCATTAGGGTAGGTAGGTATCGTGTTTTCGACAAATCATTTGAACAAACCAAATTGTCTCATTGCCCCGTTGGTTTGTTGCTTTTTTATTATTATTTTTTTGTTTTTTTTAAATTTAAAAGAATTATTTTGCATACAGTCTGTTGCGTATCAGCGTATACATTGGACGTTAGTCACCAACTAGATAAAACAGCAAAACCATAACAGGTATTGTATTTCATGGTACAATAATAATAATAATAATAATACTCCACTCCACGAATCAATATATAATACATAAATCCATAAAACAGGCGACTTGGAAAAATACGAACAACCTTTTCTATAATGTGAATAATAATTATTTCATGCGTTGAATGTTTTTTTAAATAATCAACTGTTTTACACTAGTCGTTTTGACTACATTGCACACTTTTGAGCAAGTAACTCTCGATTCTTTGGCAGCAATATTCTGTAAGATCAAATTTGAGCAAAAATTACTTTTTTAAAAATCTCACTTTTGTTCATATCAGAATAGCCACGGCCGAAGACATGATCCTTAGTTTTTTTTTGTTTTAAATATAGGTCTAACATATTATTATTTTTTTATCAATGTCTTTTAAAAAAAAAAAAAAAAATCATTTTAAACTAAGCGATTTCTCTAATAGACATAATTGTATAATTTCGTATTTAATTTGCAGAGTAAAAATATAATTATTTCATATTAAATTTGTCAGTTGCATACAATATATAAACATTATTTCTTAGATAAAAATATAAAAAAATCGCATGCAATAAATTTATCCGTTTAACGTTGACATGAAAAACACAATTATGCCATGTAGAGTAGAAATGCAAGTGACAAGATTATAATAATTTAAGTAGACAAATAATTAATTTATATCAGTCATGAGCATATTGTATCATTTTTAAATGTAAATATTTTTAGTGTCAAGCATTTGAGTTTTTATTATCCATATTATATCAGTGTCGATTACTTTTACACGCATCTTAAATGATTGCGACTGTAACAACATATAGAACGTTTAACAACAGCCATGCCTAAATAGAACCTAACCAGAAAAAAAGCACAGTAACATAACCTAACGTTATAAAACAATCTGTAACATTATTAATGCTATTATTCACATAGATGTTTAGTTAAAATGTTAACAAATATTCTCATATTACATCTAGTACACCTGATTAATACTTCATGCAAAAGAATATTTAGTAATACATAAAAATGTACAAGTAGTGTGTTTAAATGCAGTCAGCAAAAAGATGATAGTATTATATTAAAGACAATTTTATAATTATATTTAATGCGCAACCAGAAAGTAAAACAAAACCGTAATTGTTATCTTTTCAGTAATAAACTCCTCAGTTATCCAAGTCGTTGAATGCTAATTTTTTTTTGTTTTATGAAATGTATACCAATTATACGACATGGTAAAACTACACAGCTGTAATATAATAGAATATTAATACCTATATCAAGTAGTGCCTGTACCAATGACGCAGCAGCATTTTATTTGTATGTACACGGTATACAATTAGTTTTTAATAATCAATGTTATTATTTATTAATTTGATATCATATTATAATATCTGGTAAATTTAATTGAACAAAAATGTTTAAAAATCATTTTAAAATAGTCTTATGTATAATTTGTCCATACATTTTTATTAGCTTCTATGCAAAGCAGCCAAGAAGGTATTTTTTTTTAATGAAAACATTAGAGGTTTATTTTGAATGTAAAAAAAATAATTAAGTCTATTTATAAAAATTGTCATCTAATATATATCTAAATAACAATAAAATATATAAAAAGTTTAAAGCGTTTTCACAATGATATTGTCGTTTATCGCTACAACTACAACAAGATGATTCATGGTGTTAAAATTTAAATCACACTGCCTAAATATAGTAAAACCACGATAAATGAACAGAACTAGATAAAAATGTTTAAACTTACCACTAATAACAATAAACAACACTTAAACTCATGTCTAGTTGTATTTTTAAAAATGATTTTTGCATATATGTATCGAGTGCTTGGTATATAGTATGTGAGCTACTGTTTTCGATTTCTATTTTAATATTGTAATCATCGGCGGTGTAGTCGTAAAGGTATTCAATCTGTGTGTATTCAACTCCCACTTTACGATCTATGTATGGGTACACGCATAGATAGCAAAATGGGCAGTGTACACAGACAGCGTGTACACCCTATGAGACTACGCTACCGATTATATTGTAATAATGTATTATTATTATTATTTTACAGAGAATAGATTTCTACCTAAACACTCCAAAACAAGAGGTTGTCCGCTTAAAACAAACGTTGATGACAGGCATTGCAAATGATAACGTGGTAGTTGTAGGCTGCTTGTAGCAAAAACATTGACACTTCAACCCTTGTTACGGAGACAACCAATAAAAGAAGCTAGATATGTTTGTTCATGTATATGAGTTTTGCTAAAAAAACAGATAGTCGAAGCCAGTGCAAGGGTAGGTACACACGATGATAAAAAATAAAAATAAGTCTAGCTTAGGTATGCCACCTTTATTAAGTACAAGCTACTTTTATATTCACAATAAATATTTTTCAAAGCATTTTACTATAGAAAAAAAATTAGCCTTAATTCTACCATAAGTAATTGCAACATACATATAGGCCTAGATAAAAAAAAAAATGTTTATATATCATTTTGTAAATAGCCAGTAACCAAGATAAATGAATGGCTAGTGTAAGCTTTATAGCCTTTATTATTGTTTAACAGTAAATTCTATTTTAACTAAAATATTTCCACACAAGCTGAACTCCAATCCCATAATTTTTCAGTGTTCATATTACAGTTTAGTTAGTACGTTTAAATAATAATAATAAAAAAAAACACAAGGTTTTCATAAAAAAAAAGGAAGCTTGGTGGGCATTATATTGGCAGAGCAGTGTTTTTTTTTTATTGCACATGCACAATAAGTATGAAAAAAATATTAGAAACATTATAGTTGCTAGAGATTACATTAAGGATTGGAATTGGAATGACATTTTTTCAGTTGAAAAAAGAGGTAGTTGGCTTTAAATCTAAATTACATCAATGTAGAGGCAATACCTGTTGTTATCACAATAAAAAAAAAAAAAAACCTTAAATTACAAATATTATAAATCTATAAAGGTATTTGTAAGACATTAAAAAATAACATTATTTAAGTTATTTAAAATCCAAAATACTGTTAACAACTATATTTTTTATAACAATAGTAAAAAAAAATATCCAGAACATGTATGTTCGACAATTTTTTTAAAAATAATATTTTACTTTAAAGTTTACAAAATGTATTATTCCTTTAATCACTTAGTTATACAAACATTTAATTCGCTTCAAAGGAAAATTAAATTTAAAACAATAATTAATGGACTCAAATCACTAAACCATGTCGTCAATGCAAAAAAAAATAGTTATGGTTAAAAAAATTACTGAGGCCTGAAAGCGCTTATATAAGGAACTATACGATACAATAGTTTAAATAATTATGCATTACAATAATAAAATAATATGTACGATGATAAACAATAATAAAGGTAGGTTAAATTTAAAACTACAATAACTGGTTAAAAGCTTGATGATTAAAATTGTAAGCGATACAACTCAATTAGGTAATAAAATAACATAATAATAATAATAATTGTTAAAAACACAAAGTCTACAAAATGGCATAAATAAGATAACCGTATTATTCAAAATAACTCAAAATAATGACTAATTATTAAAAATAAATAGGCCTCGTAATGAGAAAAATTAGTTTTCATCGTAAAAGCTATTACACGAAAATAAGTAATTAAAATGGTTTGGTACCAACAGTAAGAAAATATCTATCTTAAATAAATTGAATGCGTACAACCCACATATTGTTGACGTGTTAAAAACAAATGTAAATCCAAAATTGTCAAGCGGTTTTCATTTTTTTAAAAGGTTGTTGTACCTCGTCGTCGTTTTTATTATTGATATTTCCGTTTAATGCCGCTGGATTTATATTACCGTTGATGTTACTGTTATGAATGTGATGCTGTATTTGCGCAGCGATAAACTGTTTCATAGAAGGTGATGTCATCAAATTAGGATTTGGAGCCAATTGCGGCGCTTGAAATGCAGCTAATGGTGGAGGTGGCGGGCGCATTGCAATTAATTGATTGAAAACGGCCGCGAATGCCTGGTGTTGTTGCATCTGAGCCTGTTGTGTAGGATCTTGCATTTGACTCTGTACTTGAGCCTGTGATTGCGCTAAATGAGCTTGAGCTTGACTCTGGGCTTGCGCCAATTGGGCTTGTTGGTGTTGGTGCTGTTGTTGTAATGATTGCTGTTGTTGAAGTTGTTGTTGCTGTTGTGGTGACATGGCGAGTAACTGATGGAACGCGGCCAATTGCTGCGATTGTAATTGAGTCTGAGTAGTCGGGAGTTCTGGTGTTTGAGATTTTTGAGGAGCAATAGGTTGTTGAGATTGCTGCTGAGGTTGTTGTTGGGCTACCGTTTGAGGTTGTGGCTTGGGCATAGCAGACAAAGTCGTAGTCGACGAGGTGGGAGGAAAATCAGCTGCCTGAGGTGGGACAAATTGAAAAAGTTGCTGATAAGCTGCAGCCGCACTCGGTTGAAACATCGGTAACCCCGCTTTATCGCCAGTCGGTCGTTTGAAAGGCATCAGTCCGGGCAACGACAAATTTTCATAATAGAACGGTGAGATTTTACTTAAATCCGGAGTAAGTTCAGGAGCTTGTAAATTCTGCGGTAAAACCGATTGCTGCATTGCCGCCGCCATTGTTAAATTATTATGATTTGGAGCAAAAAACTGAGTTAAAGGATTCATGAGTGGATTCGAATGGTTAAAATATGGGTTAAATGTATTGCCGATTTGAGCGGTCGGCAACTGGGCTAAATACGCTGGGTTTGGCATAGGAGTAGCGACTTGTCCCGGAACCATAGGCTGATTAGCTACCAAGCCCATTTGTTGTACTAAAGCGTTTTTAAGAGCGAGGTGATTACGACCGTTTATTAAAAGTTGGTCTTTTAAATGTTGCGGAGGATGGAAATATTTACAAGGCGGTTTCGTTCTATTACATCTCCCTTTGATACTATCATAGCATGCAGTGACTTTGCCGTTTTGAACATCGACATTAGCCGCTGGATGAGCAAATTTGCATTCGGTATCGCTACGAGAGCACTTGTTACGTTGAAACTCGCGGCATACTTCGAGTTGTAGCCATCGAGAATCTTTTCCATTCATAAGGCTGTTCATGTTGACTACAGCCATTTCTATGTTGATGTATTTATAAAAGTCTTGGTAGATTGTCTATATATATATTCTTACTATAATGTAGTCCACTTATAACATAGATAATATACTAAGTATAAAAGTACAAATTTCAAATGACACTTAGTTTAGTGATTTGTTTGCCCACAAAGGATAAGAATTTATTTTGAAATGTTAAGTGTTTGAAAAGATCCACTATAATTTTACACTCTATATTATCAATAATTAAATATATTGAAATATTTCTAATGAAAAAGGAGTTATGGTAGACCTACTTATAACTAGATAAGATAAAGGTAAACACAATTAGCTTGCAAAGCGAATTAACAAAACAGCTTGGAAAACTACTCACTTTTGAAACAAGTCTTTACGTTGTTCAGTAGTCCACGGTCTTCCGTAAAATCCTATAATAGCAAAAAATAAATAAAAATTTTGTTATTCTATTAAATATTGGATAGCTTTTTACGATTTGGTCGACTGTCACTTAGAATACTTTTAATGTGATAAGTTTACATGGTTTTTTAATCGTAATATCAATATTTGAACATTGGGACTAAAGAGACAGATATCAACTTTAGAACAAATTGAACAAGAATTTTTACTCATTGAATTACTTATGAAACATAAACCTGTTTTTATTTAAGAGTTGTCATTTGATTTATATAAAACGACCCATTACTCGGACAATTAGGTAATGATAAAAAAACGGTAATCCCATAAACAAACACAATACACAAGTGGATTTTATAAATTAAAAACTATAAAATTGAAGAACTAAGAAAAAGGTAAATTATAATAAAATGTCTACTAGGCAGAGCGTTTTATTAACGTGAAACTATTATCATCAATCAATAGAATATAATTACCCTGTAGGATTACAATATTATTATTAATGGAAATACAAAAAACAGCTTCTGTGGCTAACGTGTACAACAAGCAATTTAGTATAGGCGTTAATATTGTACGACAAGTGCGATTGTGTGGCTTTGGATTTTTTTTAGATATTAGATAGGTAGTAACTATAATATTACTATATAGTACATTTTTTTTGTAATAATTTATTATTATATTCACACGACGGGACTTGGTCGTTATGTGGACGTCGCCAATTTTATTTCGATCGCTATGGAGAGTTGCGCGTGCCAAGCGAAGCATATAGTTTTATGGTAATTAATATGTCACCCGTACCTTCGACAACACCACAAATAAAATTGTCATTCGGCGAAACGTAAGAATTGTCAGCCATCTTGGCGGCGACGTCAAGACGGAAAGCGTTGTTGATAGCTGCCGTTCCCAGTGCGGCTGGCCTGGACTCCGGTCACGATGATGCGATTCAATATGGGCGTCGTGTAGTCGGCTGCACACAGCACTTCCCGTGTTTCTTCTTCTAAACTATTATTATTATATATAATATGTTGCATTTAGCGTGCGGACACAACGATTTGTTAATAAATAAAAAAAATAATAATACAATTATTGGTATATATGTACATAAAACAATACGTTTCAATCGGAAAATCGGACCGTGTTCCGCCACAAACGATCGCGGTAATATTATTGCGATGATCAAAATAATATATAGGTATTGTATAATAATTAATAACGAACGGCGATTGTCTCCCGAGTGGAAGTCATAAATTACAAACAGTAGTACTGTAATACAACTAATTATTATTGGTAAAACTATTCACGGACCTGATCAGCTCTTGAAGTCTGTAAAACCAAATAACAAGCACGCACCGTGTTTCGTTTGGCGTATAATTTACGATATTATTATTGTAAGACCGTGGCGGAGAACAATGGAACGTTTTACAAAAATACAATATATACCCACGTATTTTTTAACGGCATGGTTGGTACCGCCGGTTTGTCGGCAGTTCACCCGCCACGATGCTGCCAACCTTGCCGCGTGGGCCACGGCTGTTCGTTGTTGGTACTCGCCCAGGAGCTGATCCGAGATAACATCACAATAGTAGTGATAAGAAACAACGGAATCAATTCAAATTTTTGTCAAATTATTATTATTTCGAATTTGCAATCAAAACTTACTACTTAGTCTTGTTTTTAATACGACTATAGGTATTTTGTATATAATAATCTTAGTACAATACTATATATATGGTACTAATTGATCAATTGACGTTGTTTATTGAATTTGCTGCAATTGCGATAACTGATATATTATAATAATCAAACGAGTAGGTGATTTTGTCGAAAAATTGCATCGTCTGACTTTCCGCAACAACTGATTCAATATTACAATGTCGGCCGACATAAACGAAATTAATAAAAAGTTCACTGATTTTTACTTACCCAGTAAGTTTGAAGAAGATTTAAACGACGATGTGAAAACCGCCAGTTCAAAAAGAAAATGCATGTATCAAACTTACCTTTTTGCAAACTCTTTGTAAGTGATAATTAATTATTATATCGCAATTATTATTGATTAAAGCAACATTCATTGAACTAAAATCATGGACTAATGTTGGACTAGGTAAACTTAATACTTAATTGATATTTTTATTTAAGAGGAGAATCCAACTGGATATGGAGTCACATGAAATCTGAGTTGAAATCTTATTCAAATCTGGTTGATAACAATAAGGGCATCAACAACTTCATGACGTCTATAGAAAAGTTAACAGCTGGTTCAAACAGTAAGTTTATTTATAATTGGAGTACTTTTGGTTAAAAATTGGAATGACACAGTCTACCAGAAGTGATTGTTTTTTAAAATTATTGAACGTGTGATTTAAAGAAATGAGAAAGATATATTTTATATTAGAAGAAAATTTGAATCTTAACCAACTTAACAAAAAATTGTTATAATAATTCTGTTATGTTTTTTTTTTATTTAGAAGCCAAGTCCTGGAAGTTGAAATCTGATATTGACATAAATTACGCTGTTGATGTATTCAAAAAATCAATCAAGTGTCCAGACCCTAAGACTTGTAAGACTGAAGAAGATAATGATGTTTATTTAGATTGTTCTAAATCTGATGAAGTTATCAAAGTTTCCAACAATATTCAAAATAAAAATGTGATGCATCAAAATAGTATTAAAGAAATACCAAAACCAATAGGTAAAATCTAAAGAATTAGATTTTAAGAATAATTTGTTGTGTGAAAAGTGAAAAAGGATTTCTTGTCGGCATTTTAAGGAAGTTCTATTTTCTGAATCGGTTGATTTTTTAGCAAAAATTATATTTACAACTAAGAATAGTTTACTAAAGTTTTGGTGTTTTTCTCAAAACAAACTTTGTCGATAAAAGGTTTATTTTGGCTTTCCACATCACATTGTTGACTTATGTAATTTGTATTAATGTAATGCTTATTTTGGTTATTGATTTTTTAAATAGTCAATCCCACTTGTCAAACTTCAAGTAACGATTTTCAAAAACACAATTCGTTCAATGGTAGCGACAGTCGAAAAACTGCTATGAAAACTCCATTGTTTACTGTACAGCCTTTAAATAATAGAAAAAGAAGGTAATTTTTGGTAATTTAAAATACATGTACATGTTTTTATATTTTTTTGAAGACAAAATATTGTAAATTATATTATGTTGTTTATTTAGCAAATTTGAGGACAATTCCCCATCAAATTCTCCACCTAGTCATAAAACTAAACATGAACCAGAACCTCGAGTCAACCAACCACAATTCAGTTTTCACACGGCAAAAACAGAACTGGTAATATAAAAATTAAATGACCAAAATATGTAATATAATGTTCATTATTATGGTTTTATAGCATATTCAAGTTAAAAAACAAAACAATCATACTTCTGGTACTTCAGAAACATTGATAAAAAAATCTCTCGGCGTAAATAAATCTCGCAGCGTTGTTAGTAAATTTGTTAACCCATCAGCTGATAATCAAAAGTAATTATGTTTAAAATTTTAACAATGTTATAATTGACTACTTTTTAAACTTGAAAAAAAAAAATATAAGTTAGGTAGTTTTATAATATGTTAGACTAAGTTAATAGTTCTCGTGAAGTGAACTTGACAATATATTCTATGAATCTGAAGCTAATAATGTCGTCATTTCATTAGCAATCAGACTAAAGATGAAAAATATAACGAACCGAGTGCGAATGAAAACTTTGAAGACAACCCCTATTTAAAAAATATTGATCCTAAAATGGTTGAAATGATTAAAAATGAAATAATTGAATGCAAAACTCCAATTACGTGGGACGATATATCTGGCTTACAGTTTGCTAAAAACACGATACAAGTAAAAACAACAATACAGTTAATATTATTAACAATTATGATTATATGAAAATCTTAAATTATCAGGAATCCGTCATTTGGCCACTGTTGAGACCGGACATATTCAAAGGTATCCGACGACCTCCCAAGGGAATTTTGCTTTTCGGACCGCCCGGAACTGGAAAAACCCTAATTGGTAACAGGATGTGTGTCAAATGCATTGTGCTCTGTATTTAATTGTTTATGTTTTTTTTTCCGTTTTAGGTAAATGCATTGCGTCACAATCGAATTCAACATTTTTCAGTATTAGTGCGTCGACCATAACTTCCAAGTGGATTGGAGAAGGTGAAAAATCTGTCCGAGCTTTATTCGCTGTTGCCAGGTGATATTAAATAATTAAAACTGTAGAAAAGAATGTGCAAAAATTCCAAAAAACATGTTCACAACTTATGTGTTTTCATGTGATAGATGCCATCAACCGGCGGTAATTTTCATTGATGAAATTGATTCGTTATTATGCCAACGTAGTGAACAAGAACATGAAAGTTCTAGAAAAATTAAAACTGAGTTCCTTATTCAATTGGTTTGTTCCACAAAACGAGTATACTTAATACTTAAGTGTTACTATAATTTTTAATATGTTTTAAGGATGGGGCGAGCACTAGTGACGACGACAAAATACTAATAATCGGTGCTACGAACAGACCTCAAGAACTCGACGAAGCAGCGAGAAGGAGACTAGTAAAAAGACTGTATATTAGGTTACCCGATCTTCAAGTAATTATTATTTTTATTAGTTGATTTGAACAAAACGTTTTTAAACAAGCAATAAGTAATTCAGTTGAAATAAAGCATATTCAGTGATGTAGTTATAATGGTACATATTTATGGCTACACGGTCGAGTACAACGCTGTATGTAACACGTAATGAAAATCTGCTTGTATTGTTTAAGGCCAGAAAAGACATGATAAAAAAATTAATAAGATCGGAGAATCACGTCTTAACAGAAGACGATTTAGAGAAAATCGCTTCTATGAGTGATGGTTATTCCGGAGCCGATATGAAAAGTTTATGCCAAGAAGCATCCCTCGGACCCATTCGGTCGATTAGCTTTGAGATGATAAGCAATATACAAGCCGATCAAGTACGTTGCTTCAAATCTGTATTTAAAAATAATAATTACAAAAAAAAAAAAATTGTTTTAATTCCTAACAGGTTCGTCCAATTGACATAAGAGACTTTTTGTCTGCATTGAAATCTGTTTTGCCTAGTGTATCCTCTGAAGATTTAAATCACTATGTGACATGGAATGAGAAATTTGGATGTAGTGATAAAAGTAGTTAAATTTATGCATTTCGATTTTATATTGTACAAAAATAAATTGTATTATGTAATTATTTGCAATTATGTTAGGTTGAGCTATTTTTATCATTACATTTGATTTTTTTAACCAGTTTTTAAAAAATTTGTAATGCCTTTTTAATATGCTATAACTAAAAAAGTGTTTAATATATTGTAATTCCAATAGCTATACAGTTATTTAGATAAATATATTTTTTTGGTATTTTTGTAATGGCTAAGTTGTTGATTTTATTTTTTATTAAACTAGTTGTCTTGATCTAAACTGTTTTAATTTTTTTATTTCTTTTAAAAGATCATATGAAAAAAGTTAGTGACTCCAGACAAAAAAAAAAAAGTTTAATCAATGTGAAACCAATAACTATCTCTGCTTTTCATCAAATCAAAGCTAACAGTTTTAAATTAGATTACATTTATTTGTTTATTTTATAGCTCAGAAGGCAATAACATTTTTTATGACATTTGTTCTTCTGTATTGCATTGAACAATACTAACAAAAATTTTAATTGATAGAAATTTTCTCAATCGGAATATGATATGTATCATAAAAAAACTACTGTGCTTTTGATAACTATGACTAAATTTAATTTTAATTTTAAAGACTTATGTGGAATTTTAATATTTGATGCGTACCAACGTCCAACAGGGAATAGTCAAAACAATTTACCCGTTCAATAGATTTTTTTTACAGCTAAAAACTAATTATAGCCATACATCGCTTAGATTTCGCATGAAGTGTATTGACTATAATATAGGTAGTTTATTAAAAAAAAAAAAAAACACTTGAATAAACAAAAAATGTTGGTGCACTCCTAATCTCTCCGCCCACGGCATCAAATAAGACAACAAACTAACTGACTATAATATAATATTTATTTACAGTTAAGAAACATTTAATTTTTGCGTATTCGTGTGAAGGCGATGTTAGCAGTTTGTCAACAAATTAAAATTAGAAAATACTATAACAGTTGAATCATATTTCGATTCCTTAAATTTTTGAATTTATTATTATTGTCAACAAGTATAATTTAGGTTTGTTGTTTTTATCTTTGTAGATTGTAAAATGAATTCATTTACCGTTGTGCACGATTTTCTCAGTAACTAATGAACGGATTTGATTTCGGTTTTCACTAACGGATAGTGGGTACTTAGTACTTACTACTTTGTTGCAATTCAAACGAAAATCAAATAAATAATAAACACGATAACGATATAATAACACAAATTAAAAAAGAGAGGGAAAAACACGTCTTGTTTTTAATTAATTGACCATCAATGATATCTTATCATTGGCGAACACAATTTTTGTTTTCGAACACGAGATACAGAATTTAATATTATGTATAGATATTATTAATTTATATGTTTTATTAAACTTTCATTGTACACAACGTTAAATTTATTTAAACTTACAACCGATGAAAAATATTTTAAGTGTGTAACGTGTAAGTATAAACCAACCAGCGAAGTAAAAAAAAAAATTTTTTTTATAGTTAACATAATAAGTAATACAGTTTACACCATGTGGTCACACTGTTTTTGTCATCGAATAGATAATGTTCGTGAAATATCAAAATACATAATAACATGATAAAATGATATATACATTTGTGCAATTTTCTAAGCGTTTTCAAAAATAGTAAATACAATGTTATTACTACTGTTATTCTAATAAGTTACCTAAAAAATTTGTGTATTTTTTCGTATATAATACATATTTGTGTATTTATTGGAGTTATTTCCTTTAATGACGTGTGATTTCTATAAATTAGGTATGTTATAGACGCTTGTTTTCTTTATGGAAATTTAACTTCGGTAATATTTATGTAAAACGTTATTATATTGTTAATTTTTTTAATTTGATGTTTTACCAGTTCACCAGTTTTTAATACTACACCATGGCGAGTGTCCGAGACAGTGATATCTCACTGTGGCTTCATAACAAATTAGGAACGACCAACGATACTTGGATTAGCGGTTCAATATGCACGCAGCTTACGTCCGACGTGTTGCGTAACATAAAAGATTGTTTTCCCGACTTGCAAACGCAGGTCAAGCTTAAATTGTTATTGTCATTTTTTCATATTCCCCGGAGAAATATTGCCGAAGTAAGACTGCGAAGAGTAAATTCATTCAAAATAATGTCGTACTAATTTTAATTGGATGTGTGTAGTGGCGAACAGAACTAGAAGAAATTTTAGAAGTAGCTTGTGTCGACAGTGAACAATGGGTTTCCATGTTGGCCGAAATGATGAAGACATTTCCTTCTACTGGCAATTTAAACGTCACAGAGTTTTTTCACAACGAAGATAATAATAGAATATTCAATGATTTAATCAGCGATTTAAAAAAATTAGGTGAGTAACAATGAGCAACCTTCGAAATTATGCAACATCATATATAATGTTTGTATTGTTTTTTCAGTTAGAAAAAATTTGGACTATACCATGTTGCCTTTAGAATGTCTTTATTTAAACAAAAATGCTTTAATTAATGTGGTCGGTCAGTCGGTAAGTCAATTTTTTATTGCTTAATGAAACTGTACATGTTAATTATTGGGGGACACATTGTGACCAATAAGGATAAAGCGAGTTTGTTCTTGTGCACAGTTATTTAGTTTAACACTATACAACTAATAACATGATTAATTTTTAATTTAGCCCACATCGGTTAAACATTTCAATTTAAAAAGAAAACCAAAAGCTGCAGCTATCAAAGCGGAATTGTTACAAAAAGCTACAGATGCGGCTAATAACATTAAAAAACACACAGCTCCTGCCGTTCCAGTACGATCGAGAGGCATGCCTCGAAAAATGACTGATACAAGTAATTCGACGATAGTATTAAACTGGCATAGTGTTCGAATAAGAAGCTGCTTTTTATAACTAATTGTCCGTTTGTTTTGTTAGCTCCTTTGAAGGGTATACCCAGTCGTTCAATACCTAGTGGTGGTTTCCGTTCGAATCCTTTGAACAACACTCTGACGACTCCCTCGAGACCAGGAATGCGCAAAGACTGTGGTATTAAAATATTAGAAATTACCGAACAGCCTATTGGTTACGCCCAAGCGAAAAAACGAAAGAGGGCCGGTAAGTTACTTAAATTAGTGAGTTCCAATAGTTATAATTATAATATTAAAATAAATTAATATTATTTATTATTTATGATTTGAAATAATATTTTATTTAAATGTATTTTTAAATTTGTAAAATTGCACATGTATATAAATGTTAACAAATCTTTATTTGTCGAGTAAAAGTTGAAGAGTGTAGAAACTACAAATGTTTACAATTGATTTCTGAATTATTTGTACTTGTTTAGAAATGGAAGAAAGTAAACGTCTCTTGGAGGCCAACAGTGTTCCCACTTCTGGTCCGTCCTTACCAAATTCAAAAACGGAAGTTACGTCTACTACTCCAGATTATGCTGCCGGTCTAGCTCCGTTGAATCCGCCAACCCCAGCGCCTCCTACACCTCAACATGTACCCAGTTATATAGCACCAGCTACGCCTTTGCCTCCAGAACCTATTATCAACGAACCTCCGAGTAAGATTTCAAGGGTTCTATATTTTATGGTCGTAATATTACTGCAGTGTTACTTGAATACTGTCCACAATACAGTGTACATAGTTCAGCATGAAAAAAGTTAGCCAATTTCTATTTTTAACCGCTGGCAATTTGTTTATAATTAGTTTAAAATAATTCCATTAGTATTTAAAATACAAGTTTGAATATTTTAAAAGTATTTGAATGCATTACACGATTACTTTACAACAATCTAAGTTGTTTTATTAATTTTTGATTTTTTAAGTGTACTCAATCTTTGATTGTTTATAACATAATATATTATATTCTAATCGTATCATTAATGTCATCATAAAGTCCCATGTTGATAATTATTAAAATGTAATTGTAATTGAGAATAATAATTGTAATAAATGTGTCATAGGTGTTCCCAGCACACCTCAACCAGCCGTTGAAACTCCACCGGCCCCAGCTGCATCCAAAGTTATTCACGTGAGTATTAAAATTCATAATTACTTGACGCGTCTATGGAAATCATTACCTCATTTCACGCTTCCTAACTAATCACTTTTTATAAGTATTGATTCTTAAAAGCCTGTTAGACTTTCCATAACTAGGGATTATACCCCAAAGAAGCTTTTACAATTTACAATTGATAAAATATGAATTATGATTGAACAATTTTGTAGGCAATCAATTGACAACATGACTTATTTTTAAGACTAGGTCGATCATACAAAGACAATCTAATAATTTGTTTTAAATAAAAATAATAATATTCTTTTGTGCATTTTCATATTTTTTTTCTGAAATATTATAATTTATTTAATTACAATGCTTATCTATTGTTTAAACTTTATATTTTTAATTGTTTCAGCCACCTATGGTCCAGATGCAAGTACGTTCTCAAACTGCCCAAGTCGGTTCGTCGACAACAACCTCGACAAATACGGCACCGACCCAATTATCTCTTACTGTACGAATTATTGTTATAATTAATACACGAAAAACTACGAGTTGTGGGATTTATAAGTTGTTGTTTTCTATTGTTTGCAGAGGAGCCAAATGGAAGAGGCTCAAGATATGTTCCGAAATGCTAACAAAGTCACGCGTCCTGAAAAAGCCTTAATATTAGGTTTCATGGCTGGAAGTCGAGGTTATTTGATGATTGATATTTTTTTTTTTTAGTTTTTATCATCGGAGGAAAAAATAAAAATGTTGATTTTCTTTTAGACAATCCGTGCCCGCAACTAGGCAGCCTCGTAACTGTGAAACTAAGCGAAGACCACGAAACGGTTTTGCAGAATGACCACACTCTAGTTAATATGTTAGTTGAAACACATTTCCAAATGAATTACAACACGGGTGAATGGAAACGAATTAAGAAATACATCGAGTTGGACAGAACGAGTATGCCGGTCGCCAGTAGTCAACTCGCTGCGTTAGCAGCCGCCGCCACAGCATTACAAAATCAATCTTGACTAACTCACCAATTTGTGGGCCACCCTAGAAATTTCCAGTTGTATAAAGCCTGTTGATTTATATTGATTCGAATACAAAAGCAACAATTTTCCCATCTTACAAAAAGACATTTTGTTTGTATCAAACAGCGAGTCGCTTAGTGGTGTTTATTGAAAAGACTTATATTTTAAAAATGTGTATAACAAATTTAAACTCTATGTATGAATAAAAACATTAAAACGCTAACAATGATATTAAAAATAAATACAATTTTCTATTCTATAAATTATAGTATGAGTTTCCAACAGCATATGGCCCGTTGACTGTCTGGCGCTTTGCCGAAGATTCGTTTGCCGTCAGGTGCCACGTACTGGTTGACTTGACAGTCTTCCAGGGTTTTGTAGCCGAATACGTTTGTTCCGAGTTGCTGCGATCACAATACAAGGATATTGTATTAATAAAATAATTAAGCTGGTTTGCGGCGACTCTCTCTTACCTGGGTTAAAGGATTTGTGTTGGTGGTAAATATACCGTCAAATCCTTTGGCTTTGCCAACTCTTAAATTTTCCTGCTCCATGAATGTTATGATTTCAACATTGGTGGCTGCGTCCAACGATGCGTCGGTGCCCATCATAAAGCTATGAAGTATACGACCTTTGCCTTTTGGCAGCCGATTCTCCCTTTGCAAATTAATAATAAATAATTTAATTATTAAAATCAGCAAATAAAATCTTTTTATTCAATATTTACCTAATGGGGCCTTCGAGGTGCTCGAGGAATTCAAAAACCACTAGTAACCGACCGTTGAAGTCAATGTCTGGTTCGTCTAGGGCATCGAAGTTTAACGCTGCGCCCACCATTTGATTGGATTCTTTTGAATACACTGCAAAACTATGGACAAACAATAATTACATTTTCAATGTATGGTGTTGCCTTGAAAAAAAAAAATGTCCAAAAATTCAAGTACTCACCTTAATTTTTTTTCCACCAACGGCTCCCAAATCATCTCGAGGATGTCTGTATAGTCAGTGTACGGCACACCAGGCTCAAGCCAATATTCCAGATCGGCTTTTTCGTAGAAACTCTGCGCTATTATCCTACAGATAGTAATGTACGTTATTTATTAATTAAGCAGGCACTAACGATTTGGTCTGAATGTAACGTCCATACCTAATAACTTGTTCTTTGTGCTTTGGTTCGAGAGTTTGCATAGTATACTTTTCCAACAACCAGTCGTCGTCGCAACCGGACAACTGCGGTTTGCCGGTGAATCTCAACTTTTTAACTATTGTACCCATGTCAGGAGCTACGATAAATTCGCTAACGTCTAGAACATCACAAGGAATTGCACGATAGGTCCATAGAAATACAACGTAATGTAAAATATAATTATTTCCTGTTAATGTATGTCGAAAATCCAAAAAAAAACTCATCCGGTTTCAACATTGTGTTAGGGTTGGTAACACTGTTCCAGCAGTGACCAGGGCCAGTGTACAACATTATTTATAACAAGAGTCGATTTTTTGCACTGCCGTTGAGTGTTGTCGTTTTTTTTTGTTAATAATGTATTAAATTAATATACTGAATTGGATTGTCCTACAAGTTTATTTTATTCTAATAATTGGAATTATCCATTTACTCATATTATAAGGTACCAGTGTATAATATACTAAATAACTGTGAACCGTGTAATCTGTAGAGTAACTTAGTTTTTTCACTACCAACCAATTATGGTGTCAAAAAGTGATCAAGTATGAATTAATTACTTATGGAATATCCGAGATCAGCTAGCTTGCTTATTGTGTAGATTGCGTTTAGCGAGTTGCCGCCCAAAGCAAAGAAATTGGACGTCGGTGAGACGTGCGACCTGAGTGAACTGCCAAGCACTTCGGCCACGGTTTCAAATAAACACTTGGCCGTGGACATTTGACTAGTGCAGATGCCCGTGTAATCCATAGTCGGCTTGTTGACTTTGTTGGTTACTGAAAACAGCAATAACAAACGATTGAAGTAAACAAAAACGTCCAAATTCGAATAGTAGGTATAGTAAATTTTTACCAGACATGTCGGCGTAAATTTTCAAAAGCGTTTGTCTGTCGATTTTGCCATTTACCAGGTAAGGCATCGTGTCCAAAGCGATTATCTAGAAAAGACAAAATCGAAATAAAAGTGAGATTTTTGAAAATCAACCTTTGTCAATCCATCCGTACGTGTGGTAAAGCGTAGTCGGGCAAAGCGTTTTTCAGTTCCTCTTCGATTTGTATCGTCGATTTTTTACTCTCATCGAAAACGACAAACGCCAACAATGCCTAGTAATTCAAATCATTTTTATTCAAATAAGGTTAGCCGTCAAAGCAATAGAGTTGGTAGTGGATGTTTGGAGATAATTTACATTTGGAGCCCTTTTAAAGTGGTATAAATTAGAAAAGCATTGTCAACCGGTTCGTTGCTGAGAGGAGATTTGGATATTGTTGTCAGTATAGTTAACCATTATCTATGTACCGAGTGATCCATTTGATATGTATTTTCTTGGAAAATATGAACATTTTGTAAATTATTTTTTTCCTATGCTCGTAGGGTACATATTTTTTCAATACTTGACACAATTTGTATCATCAACCCGTATGCGTAAAATAAGTAAGTATGGACACTTGTCAATTATCTATCGTTATTACTAGATAAGAACCAGAAGAATGTGTTTGCATTTGAAAAAACAAAGTTGATACCTATAATCTTATCATCCGTATAAGGGACGACGTTGAATATATGTACCCAAGAGTATAGGTAGGAAAGAAAAGAATTTTCAAAATATCCGTTGTCTTATATCAGAAGGATCACCACCCTACACGGCGAGTAGCTTACTTGTTCGGCTTCGTCCGGTTTGTAACAAAGCACAGCTAACTTATCTATGCCCGAGTCGGGCAACTTGTGAATGGCAGCTTCCACTTCCGTCAAGTCAACTCGGTGGCCTCTGACTTTGATCTGAGAATCCGTTCTGCCTTCGTACAACAGCACGCCGTTTACTATTTTACCGTAGTCTCCTGTTTGGTACATACGGTCCATACCATCTGTACAATGAGCATAGCAAAGTCAAGTAGAGAAGTTGTACAAGTCAATTATAACGTAGTCATAAATCCAAAGACGAGGTAAACTTATTCTTCGCCTTACACTCCCGACTACACGGGGTCGGTCACCCTAGTCCTACACTTCATAACACCTCTCACTGCTTGTGTAGTGTTTTTGCAAAAATTATTTTTTTACCTTTGTTTTGGGCTACAGTGTTTTCGACGAATCTGTGTGGATCTCGGTTGTTGACATAACCGCTAGCCAAATTAGCGCCTGCCACAAAAAGTTCTCCCAGAGCACCCGGCTCGACCGGTACGCCCTTGTTGTCCATCAAATATATTTCAGTGTTGTCGATAGGGTAACCTGAGTAATGAAAAAAAAATACCGATTAAAAATCTGTACGAGTCAAGGTCATGGGCCGGCTTTCACCTATGGGAATCTTATCGCCAAAACTCAAGTCTTTGAATGATTTAATAGCGTAGTACGTGGCGTCTGCCATGATTTCCGTGCTACCGTAGAAGTTGCATAACGTATGACCGGGAAAAGTGTCCAGAAACTGTTTAGCCAAAGACACGGGCAGAGGTTCTCCGCTGCAGACCCACAGCTTGAGGCTTGCCAGAATGCTTTGCTCTCTGTTCTGAAACAGAAAAGTACATAGATATAGAAAGAGAGATAGGACAGCACATTCGAGTCTTTACTTACTCGGTTTTGCACCGAACACTGCTGTTCGTTGTTGTTGGAAATGCCCAAGTACAACAGTATGGCACGCAAAAGCGACGGGACCAATACCAAACGTTCTACCTGCAAAAAAAATAAACCCAGCGAAATTAAAAAAACGGATATAAACAGCTATAATATAAAAATGTCTTATACGACTTTTTAATTTTTGCCTACCTTATATTCTTGCAACGTGTTAATTAATCGTTCTGGATCTTTGGTAACTGACTTTGGCACTACCACCAGACACCTGGGTGCATCGTGCAAGAGGGGTGCCCAAATTTCGGCAACGGCGTCGACGAAAGTTAAAGAAGTTTTAAAAACGCATGTTTGTTCAGTGTCGCTATAAGAAAAGCGGTTCCATTGCCAGTTCAAACGGTTGTAAATGGCATGATGAGGGAGCCTCACGCCTATAATTACATAATCAAGTACATTAGATACACCTAGTATAGAACATTATAATATCTGATATTGCAGGTATAGGTACAGTGACTTATAGTAGAGGCATTTATCATATGTCTAATGATTAAATGATACAATTTGTGTTTAAATAAATTCTTACATGATCAGATAATCGATACAAATGGTTGAAATAAAATATAATCAAATCTCATTGGATGTATTGATTTTTGTTTTTCCATTCCAAGGGTACATTTTATTTAGGTACGAGCGTCACAGGGTTAAATCTATCATTATTATATTATACATATAATATGCAACATGGTCATAAATTTAAAGGTTCAACTGCACGAAGTTTGCCTATTCAAAACGCCGTCCTGAATATCCTGGTGCAGTTGCAAAGTGTGCGTCATGGTTTGTTATTATTACTACTGCAGTTACAATTGAGTGTTTTTCACAAGCAATAATTATATTTTGGTTTGAATCGTTAAGAAATTGTAATTTGAAAAAAAAACACGAAACACCAAAGGTCCGCCTTTAAGTTTGTCAATCAAGTGATGTTCTATTTAAATCGTATTAGGTTTAAGTATCCAATTCATGTAAGACGTTAACGTTTGTCTTTTTGAAATCTTTTTTGTTAATGTTATTATTTTAAGACATCATAAAACGACTAAATGTTTTTGTACTTATATTTTTTAGTATTTTCTGGAGCTCTATCAACTTTCAAAACTAAACAGGAGGTGTAGTGCGGTTGAATAATAATATGCGCAGATAAAAAAAATACTATACTTCATCCTTCTACTAAAATAACTCTATAAATCATTATTTAAAACTTGCTGTCGACCAATCAAAATGTGTTTTACGTGAAATAGATCACCCTTAAATAAGTATACATTTATTTATTTATCAAAAAAAAAAAATCAATTTTAATCGAGTCGGATGTCGATTGATTTCTCCTTATATAATAATATTATGTCCTTGGCACATAAGATACAATATAGTTTCCTTATCTACAAGCATACAAAACCTGCGCCAGCTATACATACCCACTTGTACACGACGTGTCATGTGTGTTTTCATATAGTTTATAAAACATTTTTAAATATTGTTTTATGCAGATAAAATATATAGGCCTCCTGGGCACAATTACACGGTCAACTACGCAGCTATTGTGCTCATTCGGTAGCGCTTGTAATAAAGTACAATTTATTGCCTCAGTCCGTCTTAGAACCACGATTAAAGATCTTAAATCGTGCTTAGACGGCAGCTATTAATGATTTTTTTATTGTAAACAAAAAAAAGTCGTATGCTATAATAGTATTGTCTCAAATACCGCCTACCGCAGTTGACCGTCTGATATGGGTATAAATTAAAATTAATTGCACAACCTTAAACCCGAGTCCGACCACTGTAGACACTTTGGAATCTCATTTGAACGCCTACAATAGTGTTTGTATATTATGTAAACATCGTTTTGCCATTTTTGCAATAGAATTAGTCAGACGTCTACTATTACTTTACATAATATTACAGTGGAAACTATATTATTTTCCAATAGTCACAACACCTGCATAGCTGCTTTTCCATTGCCAAAGTGTTACCACTTATCAGTTATCAGTTACCATTAATTTATGTTATCAGTTTTAGTTATATAAAATGGCGCGTAAGCCGTAAACGCAAAAAAATCAATAACAGAAACGGTAATAAAATTACTGCAATGCATGACTGCAATATAGATTGTATAAAGTATGACTAAAAAGTTACTTAAAATGTTACTTATACCTGACCAAAAATTACCCACTCTGATGATTTTAAGAAAGACAAAACATGTAGGTAAGTAGACTCTAAACGAAATTACTGTACCTGTACAATTTTTTAATTTAGAAAATATTAAACAAATTTAATTAAAGACTAAACGCTATTTTCTTCAGTGCCGGGTGATAGCTCAATATTGAAACAATTTATAAAATTAAGGATAGTATACTTGTATGTACGTTTAATTATAACAATTATAAGAGTTCAAATGGTAATAACTATCATTAGTGTAAATAAGTTATCGTGTTCGGTGTTAACGGAAATTGATTAGGTAGTACTCGTATAAAAAAAAACATTACTAAAGACAAGTGTAAAACGATTAATTATCTAATGTAACTTTCTATTAATTAGTAATACTTAGAAAAATTTGTTTTTTTCTCCCACAATATTATGTTAATTTCTCTTGAATAAACGGCAGTAACATCGTGTACGATAATTTTGGTCGTCCGGTTTTTATAATACACAATATCTTAATTAAACAGGTTTATTAGCCATAATTTGTTGTTTTTTTTTTTTTATTAATAGCCATAAAAGCTGTTTGTTCGAACGCGTGTGGATATTCCGTTTAAGTGGGTTAGGTTTTGTTATTTTTTCATGCTAAAACCGGTAAAAAAATAAAAATAAAAACTCCATTTTCCATTGTAACTCTCAAGTGGACCACCTTGAATTTGTTATTATAATGATATAATTCTGAGGTTCATGACCCACAAGTAGACATAATACGACTATATATGTTGTTAAATATTGGCCATACCTTTGGGCGTGCCAGTGCTGCCACTTGTGTAAATAATTATAGCCGTCGTCTCGGCTTGCCCGCCGTTTATGGTTTCATCGTTTTGCAAATTTGAAGCTGACAAAGTTGTCGAGGCGTTTTTCATCTGTTTGAGGTTGTATACTGTGTTCGACATGTCTTCGTACACTTTAGCTACCGAACAAAATGAAAATATAAATAAAATACATAAGCAATTATTCCACAAGGAATCGGGGAAAAAAGCAAAGGGTTGAATAATAGGCAGTGTGTTAAGAAAAAATATATAATTACACTATTTACACAACATACGGATCCTCCCACTTACTAGCTTGACACGTCTGTCAACAAGTCTAAAATAATATAAATTATGGTTTATCGATTACATAGAAAAAAGTGCACACGAAAAAATCCAGTCCTTTCATACGTTTTCAGCGCAACTTGATGGTTTAGAATGTTTACCAATTATTGTTGATGTAAAAATGGGTATTTAGATAATGCCAAATTAATCCTACGTTCTTGTTGACTATTTTGATTCAGTTATTATTATCATAATATGGTTTATGTCGATTGGAATTCGACTAAAAGCAAATCCTAACCTACCGGAAAGTCATTGTTAATATTTTGTATCGATTCAGAATTTTCCCCCCAACAACAGTGTTTCCAAATCTAGGAATCAAAATAGCATTATAGGTTTATCAAATATAAATAATTATTATCATACGTGTTATGCGTACGGTATATTGTATCACAATAGCTTCGTTCGTTTTGAAAAAAGTGTACATTAATTAGTGTAGTGTCTGGGTCAAGTGTAAGGGGTGTGTGATCAGGTGTAGTATTTCAAAACAAACGTTTTTGATTATAAAAATTAGTTGTTATTAGTTAATAAGAAATATGATAACGACCAACACCGAAAATTAGGTGTCACCCTACTGGAGGTCGGTGTGAAAAAATTGTACACTGATACAACACTTTTTTTAGAAATTAAATGAATGATAAGAAGGTCTTGGTAATCGGTGGTGTGAGATTTACCGTCCGGCTGGTGGGTGATCACCAAACAGGGTTTGGCCTCGTCGAGGATGTGCCGGATCCGGTGCTCAGGAGCGGCCGCGTCTATGGGCAGATAGGCGGCTCCGGATTTCCAGACGGCCAACAGGACGGCGATGAGCCCGTCGTCCGGCGGCAATTGGACGGCCACCACGAAATCGCCGTCGCCGTTGGCCGCTCCCGCCCGTGCCGCGATGCCCCTGGCCAGCTGGTTGGACACGGCGTTCAGTTCCACCAAAGTCAAACGGACCGACGGCTGTCCCAGTTCTGTGGACAGACGAATACATAGGTAAGTCATAAGATAAGTAGTGGTAACGGGGAGGTTACAAGTCTACCTACCCCTTCTAGGAGAAGGGTATACGATAATTGTATTTAGGTTGTCAACATTGGTCGGCAGTTGGTACCATGTCTTGAGAATATTCTATACAAATTTAGTACTACTTGGGACTGTTTTGAAAAAAGATATGGAGCGCGGTAATTTTAAGTAAAATTTTCGGTTGTTTTTCTCAATTTTGACGTGGAAGGAATGAAATTTTAAAATTTTTAGTTTAATAAAGTACCTTACAGGTACGATTTCCGATCTTAAGAGCTGCTACACGAAGAAATCGGTTTAGTGGCTTAAAAGATGTCCAAGGTACAGACACAAAAATATAAAAACACATCATTGTAAATTACCTTGTCAGCTATCGCATCGAAGCTAAAACAATATTATCAAGTAAATAAGCGCAAGGTCATCGATTTATGACCGTTTGATTATTGTGAAGTTTGTCTTTATCTAATGTCTGGGGTCTTACAGGGTTAATATCAGATATAAGGTCAAATACTAGATTTTGTGAACTTAAGTTGTAGCATACACAACTGAAAATACTTTTTAAAAGGTTTTTTTTTTTGATTAATTCATATAAAATTAACGTTACAAATTTAATAACTAATAATTTGAATGGCCTAAAGTGAAAAAGTGAAAATCGGCGATTCGTCATTTTTAAATTGGTCCTTTTTTGTTACTAATATTTCATAAACTTGCTGGTTTCACAGACTCGGCTTCATTCACTATTTTTGTTTAAGATTTGACCATGACTTTATTTCTGCATTATAAGTATACAAGTATTTCATATGTTTCTCAATTCCACCCTCTATTGTCATCCCCACAAATAAATTACTGTACGCTGTTGGTGACTTCAATTATTTTTATTTTTATTTTTCAAATATTCATTTTTATTTTCTCTATTTAACTCTTACAATAGTCACATTTTTAAACCCTTCCTACAGTTCTGCCCATATATTGACATTATATTTTGTTATGATTCTGTTTCCGGTTATTATTATTACCATTTTTTTCTTCATGAGCACCAGCTGATTGGTTTAATTAACTTTTTTTTTAAAAATTATTTCCATTGTTATCAGCGTTTAGAATTTAACTTCCTGTTTAGTCTACTCGGCCGATTTCATTGTAAAGGTATTGTTGTTAATAATTATGGCTATTTGTCATAATAAAACAAAGATAAACTAAGTCTACTTGGGTCATTAGCCTATAAGGGTTGTTTAGTAGATACATGTTTTGAAGTTAACCAGTTAACCGATTTTGTAGTTCAGAAATTGCTACTCTACAATGTACCAACTGATTATTGTACACAAATATTCTTATGAGGTATACTTGAACAATAATGATTATATTTTACCTTCATAAATCACTGCCATTTGGTCTCCGTAGATGTTTTCATTTTTTTCAAACAGTTTGTGTAGCTTTATGTTTTTCCCAATTGGAACAGAAGGTCCTTGTAATATCGACGTAGTCATGTTGAAAAGTCTAAAAAAAGTGATTATATTACAACGAGTAAAGTTATAAAAATATTAATTTCGTAAAAACTGTCAAACCTGTCATTTTTAACTTAATTTTCAAATTATACTTAATAATTACAATACAAGTCATATTAAAATAATATAATAAACAGTACACAATCACTTCATTACGTTTAGATTGTATTTAGTATAAAAATGTTTAAACGAATTTTTGTAGATACTTTTTCCAATCGTCTTTCTTTTTCATATCAATTTTACAATGCAATATAATTAAAATATTTTTTTTTTGTATAATTAGATGTTTAACGTTTAATCATTTTCAAAATATGGTACTAAATTGTATTACTGTTTGGTTTTAGCTGCAGCGTTAAATGACTCAAACGAGGTCATTTCGACTGTCTACTGCATTATTGAGTTTACTTTTGTTTCAGTATTATAATATCCATCGCATTAACTACTGCTACGAGACCAGAAACTTGTCATCTAAATATATATATTATGGGAAATGTTATTTTTTTCATGACGTACAAGACAGTTGGAATATAAATTGGATAAGACAAGACCATCGTTTTTAGGGGAGAGGCAAAGTAAATATTTTAAATAAAATACTATTATGACGTATGACTGAAGCAATTACATTCAAATGATCAATATAATATAACCAGTTTTCACGCAGTAGAAGCCACTGACAATAAAAAACAGAGACATAAATAGTTGACAAGAAGAATCAAGACACTTTGGTACAACTTGTCCTCTCTCTCTCTTGTGGGTATTTTATTTTTATTTTCGGAAGACTAACGCCCTTGATTTGGAATTTTCATTTTTGCCACATTTGGTGAAAGCCTTTTGGTCGGTCTGCTAATGGCCTTACCACCGGATGGCGGGTCAGCTATGAAGGAACCCAATAGTGCGTGCGGTCGTGCGCCTGGCATACATTCAAGTCACACAGACACATAATAGTAATAATATTATGTGTTTCAAACGGTGTGGTATTATGAAACGCTCACAAACCGCCTTGAACTGTGGAAACCGCTATTATATAGTATGTGTGCTAGGCCCTCTCCTCGTCTTAAGATAAACACCGCACACCTTATCGTGTGGCGTATCATATTGTTTTGCACACAGGGAGCTGGACTTGCTTTTATTTTTTTGTCAGCCTTTAGTTTTTTTATACATTGATCCTGCGGTTCCTATACGGACCTAATCGTACACACTATAATACACCTATTGTGCTACGATGACGAGCGCAGAATTCGATGCCGGGGGAAAAAAAGCCCCAAGGTTACCAATGTTATAATGGGTCAATAACTAGATAAGTAATTAAAATATACACTCCGGTAGGTACAGCTTGTTTAGAGCACGGTGTTGTTTCTTATAGTCGTTAAAGTCTCCTGGGGTGACCCGCGAATCTAATTGAGACGCTCATTACAACAAGAGCCCAATTTAAAATGCCTAAGGAATTTTTTAAAAGTTGTAAAATCGGGCCTTTGTTCTAATCAAAACTTTTAAAATTTAAAGTTGATATTTATTTAATAATAATAAAAAAACACTTGTTCTGTGTATGAAATTAAACGTTTTCGTTCAATATCATGCACAATGTTTTATTAACATGCTTAAAAAACAAAAGTGTCATTAGGGAAACACTATATAAACTTTGAGACTATTACAACGCTTAAAAGTAGTTATCACAGCTGTACTTTGTTATATGAAACAATCCACTTATAAACATATTATTACTCTCAAACATATTATCATACAAAACGTACATACTTATTTTTTAAAAATATTATTTGATATTCAAAAAAAAAATGTTGATCAATATTTCATTCTAAACACTGCTGTTAAGCAACAGCCAACCATGTGTTAATATAGGTTATACCACTAAGCCATTGTGCTCAACGGAACTGGTTTCAGGTAATTTGCCTGTACATATCTGACTGCGGCGGTAGAACAATTAAATCATGAAAACGCATTGTAAAATAAAAAACGGTTTGCAGAGAGGTTAACTTCAATAATAATAATTATTAGCGACACCGAGTAGAATATTTTTATTACACAAGGCTGATAGGCGACAGCTAAAGCGCGTTCTGTTCGGATTAGAAAAGTTGTATAAAAAAAAAAAATATTGAAAAAAACGTAATCCTAGCAAAAAATTGTAAACGTTAGCACCTCTTGTCCCACATTGGGTGGTCGGAAGTAACCCCAGGGAACCTAGTCATAATCTGTGGTGTACAATATAATCAAATTTCAATAGGTATTGCAATCATACTAGTTAAGGCGACCAATATTATATCCTTAAATTGTTGGAATAAAAAAGGTTTAATGACCACCGACTGAGATTAGACGTAAGCAAGTGTGTACAATTGAAGAATAAGAAACCGAAAAAAAGAGAGCACCCAAAAATTGGAATACTGTCCTCTATTGTGTATATTGGATATTTAAAAAAAAATCTAAATGAGTTTTTAATTAAAGTAAATTATCGCCTTGACATACTCCTAGTAGAATAATTAAAACACTGCAAATTTCGCAACACCAAATATATTATTAGTAAGTGTTGAAAAAATATCTTTTTAAATATTGAAATATATTTTGAAAATACAATTAATATCTAATTTCTAGTAGTTACAAAGCACAAAAAAACTTGACTTATTTCAATCCCTAAAAAAATTATATATATATATATATATATATATATATATATACATATACCTAATCATATAGGTAGGTTGTAGGTAGTAGAAATAAGTTATAACAATGATTGCAATATAAATAATAATTCTGTATTATAATTTCAATTTTGATTCTACATAATGACATGTAGTTTTTACAAATAATAAGATACAAACTAAAATAAGTGTCTAACATTATCCAGCCAAAATTTCCAAAACTTGTTTTCAACAATTAATAATTACTACAATACATTGGACAATAATTTTTCAACAACGCCAAAAATGATCTTAAACTGTGTAACTTACAATATAGAATAGGAATTTATAATTCATAAATTTGAAATTCCCAAAATCAAGTAGTCGAATGACTCATTGGGAATTACTGATTGCCAGAAGACAATCTTTTATTTTCTACAGTTTATATGTATATATATATATATTATAAATAAAAAAAAATCTTATAATATTTTGTTATTATTCTTTAAATAGGATAGGTATTAATAAGAAGTTAACCCCACTGAACTTGTTCATCGTAAAGAAGGGTTCATTGTTCATAAGAACATATTATTATAGATAAGTATCGTTAAATCCTAACAATTTTTAGGTATGTTTATTTTAGGAAAGTACCTTAATAAATATATTTTTTGAAATTCTTTATAAATTAGTCATTGCTATTGAATTAAAGCCAAACTATTTTCTTAAAGTACATGTTTTTTTATTGTATTAATATCAATCAACGAGTTAAGTGGGTTACCAAATGTATGTTATTTGGTTATTAAGAAATAAATTGCCACACAAACTAATGTGTAGAATATCACAGTGAGTTTATTCTAAGTATTTTCATTGGTATGACACTATATGCTAGTAATAATACAATTAATAAAAAAATATGTAAATAGGAGATGTTTTTTTTTATATTTAACGCTCAATTTCTTTACACCGCTAGTTTTTTTTTCTTTCTAACGTCGTTTCCAATGCTAACTGCTTTCCAGCATCAATTATAGACCGTACTCGTTGGATAATAATGAAAAAAAAAAAAATAATACTAATAACAGAGCAAGCCGACTTAAATAATATATAACCCAAGGTACGTTCGTTGGCCGTCTGTTTAACCGGTCATGGACCGTTTTTTTTAACTATAACTGAAAACAAACGTTAACTTATTTCTCCATCTATTTCATAATATCGCAATTATGATTCTATCACTGTTATTAAATTTTTGTGTTTTCATTTAAAGTAGCAAGCCAATAATAGTAAACAAATATACATATTTCTCTCTCTCTCTTGGAGGGTGAGGAAAATTTTAATATGTACTGCCCTTGTTTGTACCGTTTTGTCGGGCCATAAATAGTATATTATTATTTAAAAGAAACTTTAACCGTTCGTCGGGTTAGGTTAAAATAATAATAATATATTATATTAATAACACTTACCGCGTGTCGATTTCGGCGAGGCAAATTTAGATGACGGAGAAAATGAAAAAAATTAAAACCGTTTAAAAAACTAAACGATTAAAATACAAAAAACGAAAAAAAAAATACACGACGTATCCGGCTGTGAACGAATTCAAACCCATAAATAGATGTTTTTAAATTGGTATTGTTTGTACACAAATCCTGTGTGCACCGCAAACGTATATGTGCCAATGGACGAGTGATTGATTCTTAATGACCTTTTTATACGGTCCCCACTCACAGAGTTGCTTGGCTAAACGCATAACGATCAGTGCACTGTGGTCTGTGTAGTTGCACATGTTTCGGCGGTCTGGGCTTTCCAGCAGCAGGAGAGCTTCATCTCTCCATCTCTCCTTAGACGACCACCGTGGTCACTGTACTTGTTTGCTTCGAATCCTTTTTGGCCGCAACAATCTTATTGTCATTGTGATTCCATTCGATTGCACCATTTATACCGGCACAAGGACGACCCACCGAAAACGGGTTTATTTTGCACACACACAGCAGGCAAGTAGCCAAGAGGGGGGCCTCAGTTGACTTGCCCCCCCCCCCCCAAATGGAAAATATAATTATTTTTTTTACTAAGTACCCAAAAACGTGCTAGGGTTAAATAAATCTATTGAATGATTACTATTAGCGCGGTTGAAAACAGTTATTTACAATTAAATCATCTTATTTTCTAAATGGATTTATTTTCCACAGCATAAAAAATGATTTACCTCCATATTGAAGATGCAGGTAATTCTGTTTTTCTTCATCATAGGTACTTTACATACCGCCTGAGGGGGAGTGTGAGCAAGTTTTTCATTGGAAACAAATTATGGAAAATGATACAAAGGCCCCAAAATTGTATACAATACCTAGCTTTTTGCTCTGTCCCTTGTATACTTTTTATTTTTGCCAAACCATCATGATTAATGTCACTGTCTATGACCAGGCTTCTATTTGACAAAGGTCTATTGTGGATAATTATCTTAGAGCGAGCTTAAGCGCATGAAGTAAAAATATCTCAAACAAAAAGGTTAATTGTGAAGACAATACAATGCTTGTTTTGTTTGTAAACGCTAATTGTATTTTTAGTGTTAAGGCTGAATACTATTAGGGGTGGATTGACTGTTTCAATAGTCAAATCGACAACAAAATGAAAATATTTTTTGGCGACCTGTTACTTGCTAGTTCATTTACACACAGCAATATGGAAATGTAATACTGTCAAGTTTTCTAATTTCTTTGGCCTTTTCTTAATAAAAAAAAAAAGTTCGACTAAAGATTTTCAAGAAAACTATCTATTTTATAGCTTCACTCTACATCTTCAGACTAATTTTCAGACCTTAAGACCCAAAACCTCTCTGGGAAAAGAGAAATAAAGAAAAAGTTTCCCTCCCTTTTAGAGCATTAAGGTTTTTGATATGTTAATATTAGATTGTATTTTACTCTGGAGATCTTTAAGAAACCCCGGACACTCGTATGACCGTTAAAACAAAAACAATCCAAACCTAATAAATGTTTATGTAGGTATATGCACACTTAATACAACATCAAGGTTTGTCCGTAGGTCTATAATAAATAATGGCAGCGCGCCCATCAGAAATATCCTAAGGATTGAAAATTCGGGTTCAAGTACAAAATGGACTTCCTCGTTTCTTATATGAACTCTAAGGCCGTTGGACAGTGTCCAAAGTATTATCTACTTTGAGAGACAGTCAGCTTTGGTCAGATGCTGATGACCATATGAACTAACTAGAAAATACTTGCCAACAAGTCTTGCAAGTCGAAGCAAAAATCTGTGATTTATTTTATTGGACAAGTTATTCCCGTAACGGGGAATCGAAAAAATTAATTTGATTATTCAAGTTACGACCGCATGTTTGACAATGCATCGTAGGCATGTCCTAGAAAGAACTATAAAATATTTGAGTAGCTAATTTGGTGATAATATCGCCTACATTTGTCATTGAGCATATAATAGTGTACGTTTATTTCTATTTTACATAATCAATAGTTTTTTGACCTACAAACAAGTAGTAATAGGCACTTTAGGGTATGTGCGAATTAAAAATATATCTATAAATCTATAAATATATCTATAACTTGATATTTTTGGTTACTGTTCTATGTTAATGTAAACATAATTTTTATTTAGTGTTTGTTAGAACAGAATTCATATTCATAAATTGCATCTATTTCTTCTTTATAAGATAAAAAAATCATAAAAACAAATATTGTACACACTATTTTATAGTTCCACAGCACTTCCACTATAAAGTTAGGTAAATAAATGAAAACAATTGACAGCTTCGTGTAACGACCAGACAATAGTATATTTCTTTCAAATATGGGTTTCACAATGATTTAAAAAAAAATGAAGCTGTCTTGTTATGGCGCAGTTGTGTTGATAAAACCTAACTGGTATACTATAATGATTGAAGTATCAAATTGTACACGAAATTAAGTCAATGTTATGATTTATGATTTTAAAAAAAATATTGCTAATGCTTCTATCACAACCTTTAAAAGAACATTAACATTATCCAAGAACATTATCTGTCAAGTAAGTTTCACTGAATTAAAGTGACGGTTTAGCTGCACTTAAACAACACATCTACAGCACTTGCATCACACTTTTGATAAATATCGTTTTTTATTATCTAATAATTGCCATAAGTACTAGCCGCGAATATATTATGTTTTTTCCACTCCGGTAATGATAAACTATAAATTTGTGCTCATCAAAATGATATTTCTTAGTAAAGTTATATTTTTTGTCATGAATAATGTGTGTTCTGAGAACTTGCAGGTAAAAACCCACGGCTTGTACTTGTAGTCTTTGTGAAAATAAGATTGGCTAATAGCACGTTTTGAATAATATTATCCTACAAGTTAACAGTCATTGAAAGGTCTAACGTTATACTAGTTGTTTATTGCGAGGACTAAAATGAAATTACTTAAAACTCAAGAATAGCTTCTTCAAAACTCATTCCTGACAAGTTATTGTATTTTTCAGGCGACTAGCTGTTTATCACAGAAGGCTTTTTGAAAGTTTATTGAAGATCTAAGAAACAAGTAAAAACGATATTTACCTAGGAGATGTTGCAATGGGTAATTCCACTTACATACATACACAATTAGAAAGTATTTAAGAAAGGTAATTATTATAACAATGCAATATTATATTATCAATAATTGCCATGATAATTCGCAATCGTTTATTTTTGAATTTTCGTTACTTCATAATGTACAGTGTATATTATACACCATTACATAAGATGTGAAATTAAACTAGGATATTATTATATTAGGTATTGTATTTTGTGTCCTAGAAATATATCAATAATTTAGACAAATACATTTAAAAGTAAAGAAAACGTGCGAAATCTAAGGCTTGGTGTTGAAAAAAATGTCAACAAGAATACTGGAATAGCCCTTAAGACTATTTTATTATCAAAAATTCTGCAGGAACTTGAAAGGTTTTGAAGAGACCACACTCTCCAAGCCATTGGTGCCTTTTGGTGACCCTATTGGCACCATTGACCTTGTCGAAAAAAATATTTATATAGGTAATGATAATATTTTAAAACAACACTATTAAACTCATGACATGATTAATGAAAACTTGAAGAGCGTAATAAATAAATCACTTTGATGTGTGTATATCAATCATACTCATAACTCATTACTGTATTATAAAACCAATCAGATCTTTATTATGACATTTTTTTAAGAGCTCCTTCTGTCGGTTACAAGTTTTGTCGGTATAGTTTTTGCTAAGAAATTTAATTTAATTAATCAAACTTATTTCCGCAGGCTAGGTTAACATAGATAATATCCTCGAGTGTTTATTTAAGCAGACCATCTTATTATATTAACTTGTAGGCAATGCGATTAAAGTTGTCTCGCTGGCTATGACATTGCGGCATTTTTGTATCTTAATTTATTTAATTTACTCTATTAAAATGAAGTGTAACAAACAATAGATTGTTTTCGAACTGAGTTCATGCACACGGACATCCTTATTTTATTACAATATAAAAGCATGTAATTTTCGTTAGTGCTTAAACGATCACAATTCAGTGTAATTAATTCGAATTATTAAGATGACCTCAAAAAGCAATAAAATTTCAATAACAAAACAACGTCTCCCTCCCTGAACGTTGAGAATTATGTTCAATTTATTTTTCGTTTGCGTTAAGTCCAAAAGGAACTATACACAAGTATTTCGGTACACAGGCAACGAAGTGCATTGTTAAATGATTTAACCCATATTGTTCTCCTCGAGTGAATGTTTAGTGTTATTCATAATAATAATAATAATAATTAGTGCTAATAACAACAGGACCGTGGGAGGCACAAACAGGAATTTTAATATAATAGGCGTAGTAACGTGGGCATAGAAAAGCTACCCCGTCAAAAAAAGCTGACTCGACACTATTTAGTAGACAATACCTTTTTCTCGGGTTGTCTTCGATATTGAAAATTAGTTAATGCAAATTAAAAACAAAGTTAAAAAAATATAAAATTTACCAGAATGACGCAGGTCTTGGTATTAATCTCGAATTGTTATTATTCAATAACAGTATTGACACAAATTGACCGATGAAATCCAAACGCCTTGGGAACAATGCCAAGTGTCATTGTAATAATATAAAAACCAATTCAAATATCTAATTTAAATCAATAGCCGTCGATTATGGACAACAAAGAAATGTCATCATGCACTATAAGATGATTGCTTAAGACGGATTAAGATGGATTCGCTATTCGGGACAATTTGGGTAATGACATGTAAGTAACTTTACCTATTTATATTTTGTTTTTATTGATATTTTGTAAAAGGGTCAACCCCCCCATAAAAAAACATTTTTGTTGCCGATGACACAATCAACTGATAATACTTCTCAACAGTAATTTATTTTTGTTTTGCTCGTGGCAGTTACATTAAGATTTATATTCATAGATATATTATATATACAAGCGATCTGTATGCTTGCCTGCAAGTAGAGATGCTCGATGCTAATTTTCTTATGTATGGTTTATCAACAGCTAAAAATTAAATTTTATTAGTAAAAACAAATACAAAATGTTGTTCTTCATTTCACTCTATTTTTCTTTTTTCCAATTTAATACTATTTTTAATTAATATACAAATCTTAAAAAATATATATAATTGTATATAAACTTTGTTACAATTAAAAAAAACATTAATCAAATTCTCTTTCTTAAAATAAACAAGGAAATTCAATGCACGCCTGTTATGGTTAATTTGTC